TACACGCGTTATGCGCGCGCGAAACGATATTGATTAGTCGCCGTTACGTCGAAATATCGTCCGAAATAATAATTAAAAAATAACGCGAACGACAATAATTATTCACCCGATCTCGGGGTACGCGGTCGCCGTGTCGTCTGCATAGAGACCCCCGTCCGCCCGGAATACGATTTTTCGCCGGCCGAGTCTTGGCTTTTGCCGATCAAATCAATCGTCTGCTGTACATTTCGACAACACCGCGTACTCACACGGCTGGTACTCGTATTGTTACCATTCGCTACGGTCCGTGCACAATGTTATACGCCGGTATACTCGGCCGACGAATAATGATTATTGTTGTTATTATCATTTCGTATTTAATCGCAATACGCAACACGCGAAAAATATTACAAGTATTAACTTCCTCGACGCACCGACTAGAACCGAAACGCTGTAAATTACGGTTCGTATCGAGTTTCGTTTGAAATTAACTCGAAATTAACAAAAAAAAACCGTTATCGCACAAATATTACCGTTTCTCTTCCGTTATTAACAAACATTTTAAGCAGTACAATCGGCATATATTCACATACGTTATTCGCAAAGGTACCAATATCCCGACGCACCGACTGGACGAGATTCACCGCCCGAAACCGTCCCTGAAGTTGATCAGTGCAAAAAATGTTCACAGGCATATAATAATAATGAAAAAAACGTGTAAAACCAACACGTTCCTAATCTAAAACAAAACGCATTTCGTACTTGAATCCTTAGATTCGAATAATAATTCGAGGGGCAAAACGAAGAGAAGTGAACGCCCGTACACCGTCTGCAAGACACTCATCACACACTTAGAGTGAGGTTATTTTTTGTGTCGAATAAAGTATTTGCTCTCGGTTACTGAAACTGAAGTATAGTGGGCGGTAACCGAGCGACCGCTGGAAATCTCGTATACCGCCGACGTCTGACCTAACCTAAAAATAATTTTGTATAGTGCACTTGAGAAGTGCCTGCCTACTGAAAAAGAAGACATCATATCTGACGGCGGTGTATAGCGAAACAATGCGTTTTCCGGTAGACTTATGACGAAGTTTACTGTAATACGTCTGTATATTATTACGTTTTAAATTTTGGAGTACGGGTACACTCGGAGAAATTTGTCGAATCTGAAAAATCGGAGTAGTGGTGAATCGACGAGGGCGAACAGATCGTCCGATGGAAATTCTATAAACATCGAAGAAAATCGCCCCGTGTAAAAACGTAAGATTGCGGCGGACCGCTTTTAATTCGGAGTTTCGGTGTACGGCGCGCGAGTGCCAAAACGCATTTTTTTCGCTCGCTACGGACAGACGACGAAGTAAGTAATAACAATACCGTCGGCTGTCCGCCGAGACCTGAAAAATGCGATTTTTTTTTTTTGCCGATACGTTTTTCGAACCCGTTACAATATTTTTCGCTGGCCCCGTGAAATTTGTTCCGAAACCGACCGCCGGGGTTTCGCCTAAACCGTCCTCTAGACGAATCGCCGTCGTCGTCGATACGATTCCACAACATAGGCAGAGGTACGTACGTACACTTCGGAGAAGGTTGTGGAAGGGAAAAAAAAAAAACTACAACAACAACGACGGCCGTGCGTCATTGTCTGGAGTTTTTACACACTCATACTCGCGCGCGCATCGCGCATATTCATATAGTTTCGTATGACTAATCGATTTTGTCATAAAATTCGTATAGGTACGTATATCGTGTACCTGTGGCCTGTGCGACCGGCACGGAACGGACGCGCCTGTTCGACTACGCGACGGCCGCGCGGGTCGTTCGCCGGTGGCCCGTGCCCGGGAATTTTCGACGGAACGGGATGCGTACCCACGCAACGGCGGAGAAGACGGTAGGAAAAAAAAAATGCCAATTTTTATTCAAACGAGCTTTTTATCCCCGCGTAATTCGGCTCAGATACGCAATCATTCCGATCCGTGTACAATTACGCGAACCGGACGAGCGGCCGCCGTATTTCCAAGCGAACGGCGGACCGAAACCCCGAACCCCCGGGTCACCGGACACTGCGATCGGATGTCGCTGAACGGATTCCCCCGTCTGTCCGGATACCCGTACACGTTAAAACTACGATGATCGTTCCGAGGACGGCGACGACGCGCACTGCGGAGACAGGAATGCGGTTCGGCCCGAAAACGCGAACGCGCTCGATGACCGCGCGAAGAAAACGAGAATTTAATGACGGGCACCGTCGCGGCCGCGTTGTCCCGCGCGGTCCGGTATTACGAAAAGCGATGTGGGGGAGGGGAAATGTAAAAAAATACGACGACGACGACGACGAGGGAAATTTCCCCCAACCCTCCTAAAACGACCGCAATTATTTTTTTTTTTTTTTTTTACGCTCCGCGCGGCCGTAAATATTTCGCGTCGCTAGCGGGACACTACGGGGCAAACTTTTCTCGTTAGGCGCTACCCCGTCGCGTGTTACTATAAATAATCGAATCCCGCGCGTTACCGGTAGGACGGCCGGGCATTAATTATTACTAATGGTTATGACGTTATTTAACAGTATACGCTTACCTAAATTCGGGCCACCTTCATGGCGCGTCGCGTACGGTATCCTCGCGAGAGTGCGCGTAAATCCAACGCGCGGAAAACGAGACGACGGAGGAAATATTATCGACGGCGAGGAGGAAATGGAGGGGGCGGGCGGAGGAGAAAAACCGGCGAGAACGACGAAAAACAAAAAAAACAAAAAAAATAAATAAACACCAAAAACAAAACAAACGCGCACCGCGATCCGCACACCGCACTGGGTCGTTCGACGTGTCTTCGGCAAACGCACCGCGCAACCGGTTCGCGACGGATCGGCCGGGTACAAATTAATACGATAATCGCGGTGGTGGACTGGCTGCACCGGACGTGTCGGCGTTCGAAACGAAACTGCCGCGGTCGCGCCGTATAGTACCCGCGCGTATGGCTGGCGCGGTTTCTGTACGCAAGCGCGCGTATGTGTGCGCGAACCGTCGGGCGGTTGCGCGTGCGCGCCCTCACGTATGTGTACCCCCGCCGCCGCCGCCGCCGCGGACGACGACACAGAACGGCACAGGTACGTACGTCGTCGCCGTCGTGAAATGGGCGCGCGCGCGCGCGCACTCGCTCCCGCACCGCGCACGCCGTCGCCCGAGAACTGTTCTTCGACAGCGGCAGCGGCAGCGGCACCAGCAGCGGCACCATTATAATATTATTATTATCGACTATACAGGGCGATTCTGTCGGTCCGACGGTTTTCCCCGCGAATCGGATATCCGTTTCGTTTTCGCGACCGTTGCGCGCGGCGATCGTTTCGGCCCCGAATATTATGCCCGTTCGCGGATTATCGGGGCGCGGCGTGATCCGTCGATCGCCCTCCACTCCCGTTAGGAATTTCTCCGTCCCGTGCAACACCGAAACTCGAGAGATCGTATCTCGCATCACGCCTGCGAATTTGATATTCGCCATTCCCCCCCCTCCCCCATTGAAAACTAGGCTGTATCCGCGCCACTGCAGAATGCGTCTTAAACGAGTGTTCCGATATACCTTCGATATACTTTCGATCGGCAAACTCGCCCGCCGTACGCAACACGGTATAAATTCGAAAAGAGAACATTTTCGAAACATTTCGATACGCACAGCACTAATACCATTGTATCGAACGTGATGCCCACCGTTTATGAGTATAAAACGCACGCCAATAACACCGCGTAGGCCCGCGAAATTACAAAACAGTCGCTAGTGTCACGCGTGCCCGGTATGTTTCGAACGCGGTTTGAAAAGCCGACTGAAAATCCAAGGTATGCGGAAAGTGTTTATCGCGGACGGCCGGACCGGGGTGAGACCGCCGAACGGTTCTATACGCTACGGCCGTCGGAGAAAACCGATTTCGCTCGGTATCTTCGCAGGCGGACCGCCGGATCGGGATGATAGAAGAGAAACATATCGCCCTGTATAATATTGTTGCCGCTGCCGCCGTCGTTGCGCGTACCTGCTGTTGTGGCGCGCGCCCGCTTCGACCCGACGGTGAGCAACACTGGCGACGCGTGCGTGCGCGTACCTATCTCCGCGGCCAATTTACGCGCGGCCTTGCGTTCGGCCTAGACGAAAATCACCACTGGCACACATTTTTTTTCGAATAACATCGTGTCGTCGCTACGTTGGGTGATTTTTTACAATAAACGCGTTTGGCTGCTAAAACTTAAAAGCCTTTGCGTCTTTCACTATCAGTGGCGTGCCCAAAAATTACCAATCGGAGGGGATGTAGCGAATAAGAACCACGAATGGATCATAAATTCGTCTTCTCTATCCAAATCGACTGTGGGAATCGGCAATTTAAAAGCCGGGTCCTAAAAAAAGGCCAATTTCTAATCGATGTGTAAAGTCTTTCCTCGTAACTTGGCTGAGACGTATGCATTTGGACCCGAGATTACTCATTTTTTTTTTTTTTTCGTATTTAGAGCCAACGCGGGCGGGATATCCCCCCCTTCTGCGCTCGCCGCCGTTCACTGTCATAATACGCTATGCTTGCTCAGTACACGGTCCAGTTCGCCCGTTCGGGACTTGTCAACGGGCAACGGCGCCGGGCGCGGGGGCTGGGGGCACGGCTAGTGTTTAATTCGATCGATTAAACGCGAAATTCGTTTTTTTTTTCTCGCGCGCGCGTCTGCCGCGAAAATTCGTCGGCGAAAAAATATTCGTGCGTGTGCCACGCGCGCCCTTTCTCGTCCACCGATTTCGTATACAGACAATAATGATGCGATATTATTACTATTATTATACTGTATATACATATACGGCGGCCCCGTCGTCGTGACTGCAGTCCGGGAAAAACTGTAAGAGAAACTCGCGGCGAAAAAAAATAAATAAAAAAAAAATACCTCGTTATGATTATGCGATGTACCTATCGTCCCGGACACGTGGGTTTAAATCGGAATTCCTAAATATTATTATAACGCGGCCCGCGCGCTCGTGAGTCGCGCCCAACGAACGGCCCCGTCGTCTAAAAATCCTGTCTCGGTTGTTTTTTTTTTTTCATTTTGTATAATATTATTATCATTATCGTTATTATTATTATGTTACACGCGCTTTAACGCCGCCGTCTCCGTGAATAATATTCCAACAGGTTCCGCGGCCGTATAATATTATCGGGTATATTAATAATATTATTACGATATGATAATAACGAAGTATTTTGTTTTTGTTTTTTTTTTTTTTTTTTTTTTTTTTTTTAATCGTTCCCATATTTTCTCCAGCACCGCGAACGCAGCACCGAGTGTCGGTAGAAAAAAATAATTAAACTTGAAATCCTCCGTCGAATATTCGTTTTTTTTTTTTTTTTATACCGACGGACGCTTCCGATTAGTTTACACTGCCGACAGTGTTCGACGTATTCGGACGATAGGTTACCAGCTAGCGGAAATCTCGTTCGCGTATTACAGATTCCATCCCCCTCCCCCGCGATCGAACTAAATTAATTCGGGGGGGGGGAACAATCCGAACGGTTTAAAACCCGATAACCGAGTAAAAACTAGAGGTCGCGATTAAAAACGCGATGACTGGTGGTGGTAAGCTTTCGCGAAAACGGTATCCGTGCATGCACGGGAACGAAAACTTTGAACACATTTTATTATTTTTTTGTCAAGTAGATACCTACACGGTTTTGTTCGGTTCGAACGTTAATTTCACGCGGATACGTGAAAACGAGCACGCGTCGACGCACGGAGCTCCGACGAAAACTGTCGGACGGTTTTCCCGTAACTGAGTAAAGTAACTGCGTACGCGGACATTTTTCAATCGGTCGGATTACGCGGTCGGTCGTCGAACGGTTTGACAGTGACTCTCTAAGGCCCGTCGCTATACAGAGTGATCGACCTGTCCGTGAGACCCTCGGTCGTCGGGGGAGAGTAGCGGAGCACCGTATTCGTGTGGCGGCGCGGCGCGCGGCGTTTTAATAACGCGCCGCTACTCTCCCGCGGCCCAAACTCAAAAGCGAAACGTCTCGTTGACGGGGATTGACGGAAATCGAAAATGTCAACACCAACGTTTGTTTTAATAAACGTGTACACTGTGAAACGTTTTCCGCGATAACGGCACACCGATCGTCATGTAGATACGCGCAGTTTACCGTGTGCTGTGCTGCGCGTCGCAATGTACACACCGCGTAAACCGAATTGTAAACCCAAGTCTCCGACGCCGATCGATAAACATTTACTCGGACCCGTCATCGCCGGCAGCAGATAAAAAAAATAATATTGTGTGCTTTTCGTGCCTGTTCCGCCGTATAAATTCTCGATTTTATAGGTCGACGCTGTTATCGATTTGGAATTCGGACACGGTGTAAAGAAACGTGGACTTTCCCCCACCCTCCCGCAGCCGCCGCCGCCGCAGAGACCGGTACACCGATATCGACGGGGAAATATTGGGCGACATAATATAAACGAGTGACCCCGACTCATTTTTATGACGCGATTGACGCACACTATATAGCTGGTGTAAAACGGGGAAAAAAAAAAACACGAGCATTTTTAGAATTTTTTTTATTTTTATAACATATATGCCTATATGTTTTATAACTTTCTATTCGGTTAATTCGGGCGTACATAATATATTACTATTATGCATTATAGGCGTACACGATAGTTACACGTATAAATAATATAATAATAGACGAAATAATAATAATATGGTAAAAATGCTAAATATGTTTAAAATGTATCTATCAGCGTAATAATACCTACAGGTATACATTTCCCTAAAACTAAGTAAAATAACGTTTCGACCGGATAGAGGTCACGATTTTTGTTTTGTTTTGTTTTTTGTTTTTTTTTTTTTGTTTACGCCATTAAATAGCTACAATTGCGCATCGATTATTATTAGATTCTGAGCTATGCGTGGAATGTATATTATTGGTTATACCGTGATGTGTTTTACATTATTATTATTATTATTTTTTTTTTGTGACTGTAAACGACTTTTCTACCGGAAATCACGCGACAATCATAAATTTTACAGCAATTTACTTGTGGAATTTTTGACGGAACGCTAGGAAGGAGATTTTTCGATTTCCCTTGTATAGTTTTCTTATTAAACAGAGTAAACCGGTAATAATTGTCGGTATAATTTTTCGGTTGATTTTTGGGTTAGCTGGGTGTAAACCGAACAAATGACGACTAATTATAATTCTGATCAGAATCTTTTTTCGTTTGCAATTGTTTATCGTTCCATACAGAGGTGAATTAAATTACTCAATCCATCCTCCCTTCCAACTTTTTTCCTAAAACAGTGACCCACTCATCATACAGTATATCAACTATTTATAAGTTATATTATTTCTTAGGTATAAAAATCGTTTTTTACGTCTCGATTAATAAAAAAAAAAACATACTCTTCGTATCATGGGTAGGTATACTAAGTTAAGAAGGTTTAATATAGCCAACTTAGTTTATATTCTGACGATAATTCATTGCAATTAAAAAATGATTCTGAGTGAATCTCGAGATAACCTGATAAAATATAGCTAAATCGTGTTTGTTTCTTTGTAAACTAGCATTTCTTGTTTGTTGTCAGTTTTTTTCTTTTATATCTTAGAGAAACTGTTGAGAATTTTGATAGATTGTTTTGGCCACCAAGTGAAAAACCGATGCACGAATAATTTGGAACACTTCCTAACCGAAAAACGGTTTTTCGAGAAAAACCACATGATAGTAAAAATAATAGTTTCATCGCTCTTTCCGAAATCAAACTCATGGTTTTACAATTATAGGTATGATGGACGGCATAAACTTTGTGTTACTGATATTATTGGTAACCAACACAGAAATCTGGTGATGACAATTACTGTTAAGATTTTAATATTTACATTGGCGTGAATTATCCCAAATATGCGCACAGTTTTTGACCGAAAAAACGTCGCAATGCCATCAAACCTATAATATTAAATTATGATGGTTATTTAGCCATAGCGGTCAGTCTTTAGCAATAAATGAGTCACTGTTAAAACACTGCCACGTCCGCCATTTGCTGTCGCGGTCTAACTAGCAAACGACATAGCAAAATTGTGTTACTACGAAACGTAAACCGTGACACCGTTTAAGTTTAAATTTGTGTTTGAACGCAACTAACGAAATAGCTACGAAATGTCGTACAAAATAGTTGAAGCTATTTGAGAAAAACTGCAAAAACTAACTCGCTGTTATCTTTTTTTATATTACAGTTTTGTCGAGAAAAAACACTATAACATATTTGTATAGCATATATGTACATGTATGTACAACCAATGAAGATGAAATTTCTCCTCTTTGAACTTTGTTAGTTGGTGTTTAAATTCCGATTGCAACCTAAACGCCACAGTTTACGTTCCGCGTAACGTAATTTTGTTACTTCGTCCGTCAGTTAGACCGAAACGCAAACGCATCGTCAGTGTGGCATCGTCCTCTTAATGTTATACGATTTTATGAAAAACGTTAGATCGCCATAAATGACGTAATGAATATTATTGTACGTAGCCCACTAAAATATTGTACGCACTGATTATAATGGGTTTTATATTAGGCGTAATACGTATTAGACGTTTGTTATTGTGGTTCCCGGGTATAAATTGGTTATATTGTAACGCGCAGACTACAACGCGGACATTTCAAATATTAATTAATGAGAATTAGGACGAAACATTAAAATTATTCGTCGTGACCACAATAGTATACGAATATTATTATTCGCAAGTAATATAATATAATGTGAAATGTAATATTACGTTATACACCGCAATAACAATCATTGTTGGTGAAATATATTAGCTCTTAAAATATACTAATTAATAATAATATAGACACAGTATCTAATTGATGTACGTATACGCCTACAGTACATCGATGAATTTGCGGAATAGAAATTATTAATATCATCAGTATTGTTATCTATATATCTGTGGCTTATAAAGCAAAAAGGGGCCGATTTCAAAAAAAAAAAAAAAAAAAATGCATATTAAAAATTGCTCAATGAAAAATATCAATATACTCCGAAAATTTCAAAAATCTTACGTATTTTATTTTAATAAATAAATGTCGAGTCCAAAAGATCAAAAAGAAAAAAAATCGCAACTGTTCGATACGAAGTACAAAATATAAAAGAAAATATACTGGGAAAGGGAGCGGCTACTGTTGTAGGTGAGAAGGTTGGTGGGTAGGATACATAAGGTTATTCCATTTATATCTGTAAGCAACGATAAACTATTTCTTGACGAAAAACGATTCCGAGCGCAATTCGGTAATACGTAATTTAAAGTGCCGTAATTTTGTTTGCGATTTTCGCATAAATTTGATTTCAAAACGTTTATTAAAAAAAAAAAAAAGTCGTCCGATAATTTTCGAAATTTTACTACATCTTGGTAAGTCCTATATAAGTATTATTACCAGGTTTCAAGTCTTTATGTGTATTTATAACCGAATTGAAGCAAACAAAATTCCACAAATTAAAATTCCTTAAAAGCTCAAAAATGGCTCAAAAGTTTTAGTAATGATACCGTAAGAAAGTAAAAAATAATCGTGAAATTGTACGTTTTCCTGCGTTTTTTCCCACCTTAATGTTTTTATTACAAAAAATAACATTTTAAAAGTACTATCAAGACAATTTGATATTTTNTATTATTACCAGGTTTCAAGNAAAAAAAAAAATGCATATTAAAAATTGCTCAATGAAAAATATCAATATACTCCGAAAATTTCAAAAATCTTACGTATTTTATTTTAATAAATAAATGTCGAGTCCAAAAGATCAAAAAGAAAAAAAATCGCAACTGTTCGATACGAAGTACAAAATATAAAAGAAAATATACTGGGAAAGGGAGCGGCTACTGTTGTAGGTGAGAAGGTTGGTGGGTAGGATACATAAGGTTATTCCATTTATATCTGTAAGCAACGATAAACTATTTCTTGACGAAAAACGATTCCGAGCGCAATTCGGTAATACGTAATTTAAAGTGCCGTAATTTTGTTTGCGATTTTCGCATAAATTTGATTTCAAAACGTTTATTAAAAAAAAAAAAAAGTCGTCCGATAATTTTCGAAATTTTACTACATCTTGGTAAGTCCTATATAAGTATTATTACCAGGTTTCAAGTCTTTATGTGTATTTATAACCGAATTGAAGCAAACAAAATTCCACAAATTAAAATTCCTTAAAAGCTCAAAAATGGCTCAAAAGTTTTAGTAATGATACCGTAAGAAAGTAAAAAATAATCGTGAAATTGTACGTTTTCCTGCGTTTTTTCCCACCTTAATGTTTTTATTACAAAAAATAACATTTTAAAAGTACTATCAAGACAATTTGATATTTTAGAAAAATTGCTAAACATAAAAATCGAAGCAAGTTGCTACGAAAAAAACGTGTTCACAATCTAGAAAAAAAAATAAATATCTTATTAAAACCAAATACAGCTCCCTTGCTACGCTCGGAATCGAATGCGAAATTCGATTACATTTCTGTTTGGAATTCCAATATTTACTAATATTTTATTCTTTTATTTGCCTTATGACTTATGGCGACTAAATAAATCATTGTATAGCGCGTATTCGATTTAGAATTGAATTCATATTATTTATAATACGACGTATAATTATATAGATAATATGATAAATTAATAATAATTGTCTATATTTTAGATTTTAATTTCCGGGTGTAGCTAAGATGCTAATTAATGTTTTTTTTTTAAGGTGAGCATGTTTTTTTATTATTGGAAAGCACTGTTTCGGTTAGTAATAACGCTCCCAATAGTTCGTGGTGCACCAGAAGAAATACGTATTTTTCGACCATTGGTACTATTTTTGAAACATTGTACTGTATTATTGATGGTTTTTTCAAACGATTTAAAATAAAACGAAAAGCAAAATATTTTTGTCGACATATGGGCCAGCTACTATAAAAACACTACTACCATTAACGTTACCGGTACACCAATCGGGGCGAAGCACCTTTAGGCTACTAATATAACTGCAACCCGTTTGGACCCATACTTTTAAATTGCTCTAAAGGCCTAGCTAAATTACGAAAACTAATTTTTAAATTAAGTAATAAGTAAATTATTTAGGTTTACAAACAACTTCTGCGCATCAATTCAGTTTTAATACATACTAAAAATCCAATTGTATTAAATATATAACTATATTATATTTATATAATATATATCTGTATATCAAGGTCTTGTATACGATAAGAAAGCACAAATAAAATACTACTATATAAAGGCTCGTTCAGTTACACTAGAATAAGGAAAATTCTGGTCCAAACGGAAAAACTATAAGAGTAGTATTTTTTAGCCCAAACGGGTCTTTAAAATCAGTCCTAACGGGTTGTGTTTCAGAAAAATTGGTTCAAACGAGTCCTGCCCACCAGTAGTTTCCCGATTGCAATGGTTCATCGTCGTTTTCGGTACATAAACTACATGCATATTACCCTTACACCTGTACACACCTCGTATACTTTCCCGACTTCCCACCTATAACAGTGGCCTGTCCATTGCCCGTAGGGATGTCTCGGTGGTTTATATCCGAAATTTTTAACTGGGCGTGTATACGGAGTGTAAAATTAATACTATTGTACTATTGTTTTATTCGTGCGGAGACTTTGTTGTAGTCGAAATAGCGTGAAAAAAAAATGATTTAAAAATTATATACATGTTTATATATATATATAGGTAGAGCGAGTCGAATAAATTACCGGTAAAAATAAATTGGTTTCGAATAACGACGCTCGCGTTGACAAGACTGGACGGGATGGAATATTGCATAACATAAAACATTGACGCACGCGTATTAATTATTATAGAAAAAAGTATGCATATAAATATTATGTTAAACAGCCGAGAATTCTAGAGCCGGTGTGCGACTGCAGCACGAATGTGATCTTAACCTTCAATCGTCGAGCATAATAATAAAACACTAGACCGTCCACGCCGCAGCCGCCGTTCGGCTTATGATAATTTGTTTTTAATCGTATGTCATATTCTCGAACGCATAATAATATTATAATTTTTAACATGGTATTACTATCCGCGTTGATTATACAGGATGATTCTTTTACCGTCGTCGATAATCCGGCGAAGATTTCGAGTTGAATTTAGATTCCGAGCGAATCGCTCAGAACGCATCGCACGTTTTACTGTGACGCGTTATTTATAGTGTGTCTGTAAACAGCTTTTCGAACAGAAATCTTGTTCCAATCGAAAAACGTATAGGAATACTGTCTTGTAGAATTTTCATTCCAGTCGACGTATTAAGAATATCATTTTCCCATCTTATTCGTATAGTTTTCTCAATAAATGGGAATAATGATAGTTTTATAAATAATACATCAGCAGTATCAGCCTTTTTTTCTTTTTCAATCAGATAATATATATTCGATATTATAGTAATGATGTTATTGCGTATCGAAATGTTTAGAAAATTGCGGCAATACCGTTTGGTAATCAATAGGTATATAAACGATTAAAAACTTTTTAAATGAAAAATAAAATACAAAAATCAAATTTACTAAAAATCTTCAGGGTAATTCACTGGATCACGATAAAAAAAAACACTCTGTATACGAATGGAAAAAACAACCAAAACGGCGGAAGAAAGTGCACGACATCGTAACGTACGATATGACGACGTCCAAAAAATAATCGTGTCTCTATAACACAGTAACAATACGGTTACGAATTTAAAAAAAAATAAATAAAAACAAAAAAACCACGCGTCTTGCTGCTGCTGCAGCAGTGACGGAATGCAGTTTTCCTTCGAAAACGACGCGTGTACTCGTAAATACGCAGTCCGATCCCGGATCTTACAATAATAATATTATTATTTTGATATAATACGCCACGTTCGGATTGTATATTATTATTATAGGTAGGTGTACATAAAAAAAAAAGTCCCAAGTAGCGATAAAAACGACCGTTGGAAGTGATTTGTTTTTTTTGTTTTTTTTTTTTTGTTTTTATTTCATCACTCGTGCACCGCGGTCAGGACCCCGAAAACTGAAGTAGTAATAGTACAGGTACTGTAATAATAACAGTAATAATAGTGTAGCTTTATCGAGTGTGGCACGTTCCCAAGACGATCTGCTGCCGACAAAAAAGGCTTTCCTCCCATCACACGGCTAATAATAATAATAATAATAATATAATTTAACGCGTATTATTCTGGGTAGGTCACCTACTCTTCTCGAGAGGCTCATCCGCGATCGTCGTAGTATAGGCAGCCAAACGGGCGTATATTATTGTTATTAGAAATATTATAATGTGGACGATATCGAAAATGTAAAATGAAAAAAATAACCGATATTTCTGATGGATGTGCTACTTTTTTAGAAAGGAAGTGGAACGGGAAAAACGATTCTGAGCAGTTTTTTGTTAATCAAATGTAATCGCTTGTTGCCAAGGTACCTAAGAAATTAACTAAGAAAAATTACTAGTTTTTCCCATTTTTTTTTTCTAAGATTTCTCTCAGAAAAGTTGTTTACTGACAGAACAAAAAATACACCTGCAAGAAGTTGAATTTTCCCCTTATTTCTTGTTACAGAAATATTCTTTACAATCATATAAGTAAAACCGAATACTATACAAAGCAAAAGAAACAATACAAAACTAATCTATTATACTACAATAATAGCTAATTTTAAATTTGACCATGCAAATGATAGTGGTGGGAGTTCAAAATTTAAACTCCAAAAAGGTACATATTTAATCTGAACTCAACTTTTATCACTTCAATCCGTCTACAAATCAACTATATATTTCTGAGTTTGAGCCCATTTGTACCAGCGTCAAAATTTACTAAATGTTAGGCCATATTCGTAGACATTTAAACGTTATTGGACATCTTATACTTTGAATATTAAATTCTGGACATGTGTTATGTACTGGATATTTAATAATGGACATAATTTTAACCTGGAACCTTCGGCACACGTTGCACGGAAATTTATTTGCATGCAAGCGATTATTGCAAGCCGAGTCTTCCAACGAATAGTCGGTGACATTATGTTATTATATAATTATTATTATTGGTAGACTTAGTTGACTGTCGTCGTTGGTGTTGCTACTGTGTCTCGGCCACTTCCGTTGTATATGAAATCGCGTCCGGCCGAAGAGCGAAAAACGACGACGACGACGAAAACATATAAACGGAATCTATGAGGCTATTGTAATATTATTATAAATGTGTGCGTAAGTATACATTCGAAATTCCGTAATGTTCGTGTTATATTTTATCGGGCGGGGAGAATATTTACAGGCCCTATTTCCGAGTATGTCTCATGCCGAAACGCAACAACTTAATTGTTTTTTTTCGGAGCTTTACAAAACAATCAGCTACTCGTTGGCCCTAACCGGATACCGTTCTAAGAATATGTTCCAAGTGTAAACCTAGTAGGCTGTACCCGGACAATGAAAAGCCACCGGGGGTTTAGAGGGAAAATGGAAAAGCTACAACTGTCTGTTGTCCCAAACGCGATAACGCTCTGAGGCAGTTAGTAGGTGCTAACTTCAAAGTGTAAACCAAGAACGTGTAGCGTTCTATTCGATGAAAAACCACGACGGGCCACGTATTTACCTATATACCGCTTGAACCACGGGAACGAATTACGATTATGTACCCATATATTTGGTTTTGAATGTAAAAATGTCGGGCTAAGTAAATATGCGCAGGTACATGCACCTACAGTGTTTTTCGATTTTTGTAACGCGTATTAATAATATTAATAATAATACGGGGCCCGCGATACATTATGATATAGTGTATATAATCGCGCCCAGATGGGTAAATAAACACGCCCATAACGGCGCGACGGTCACGAGAGTGGTGTTTATGTGTAAAAAAAAAAAAAAATTATACGCTCTTTGTCCGTAATATAGCTGGTATACTACTACACGTATCCGACGTTTAATATAAAATATAATACGAGTGTGTGTTACCGTCCATCGACATCCGCCTTCTTGCGCGTACCTTCCTGTAAATATATACCGTGATAACAATAAAGTATGTTAAATACCGTACACACTGTATAATAATATGCATATATTATTATATTAGTATAATGTTGTAGCGTAAATCATTATCATCACGGATATATAAAACGACTAAATAAATAGCCGAGTAAATCTGAAACACGGCAGCGAATGAGTAAATTTAATTGATTAACCCGTGAAACGTTAACCGTTTATGCCGCGATGAGTGTAGCCGAATACAACAGCAGACGGAAAAAGTACGTGTTGTGAAATCGAACAGAGGATTTGGACGAGCTAAAACAACTTTGACCAAGAAATACAAGTGTTTTGATTACAAATAAAACGAAAAGAGGAATAAAAAATATATTTATAATAATGTCCGTACTCATTTACATACGCTCGAGAGATTCGTGTTATTAACCAAGGAGGAAAAGATCCTCAAAGCGTTCGGAACATCGTGGTGTTGGAGACGGGTGGAAAAAATAAACTGGACAAAAAGAGTAACGAATAAATAGATGTACCGACTCAAGTTGAAGAAACGAGAATAATGAATGTCATAATGCGGCGGCGATGAGATATGATCGGACGCGTTATATGACACGAAGAAAAATTGCACCGCATTTTAATAGAAGGTGCGATTGAAGGACAAATACCACCGGAAATTCATGTATATTTCTACAGAAAGCTTTTCTATCGACTGCAGTGTAATACTCACGCTGGATTAAAGATGACCGCGAGAAATGTAAAATCAAGTTAAACTGACACGTTGTACAAACCAACCCAATAATCGTTGAAAAAAAAAAAAACGCCACGGACAATGCGGTATGTAATGTATTGCGCACAAATTATTAATTGAAATCACGGTCTTCAAAAATAGATCAGCATCGGCCTTTTTATTTTTGTCATACTATTGTAATTTGTATACGAGTATAAAGGAGTACGTTTTGAAACGATTTTTAAACGCGAGTCGACTCAAGTGACTATAATATATCGTAGTATTAAAAAACATTGAAAGTATGTGTGACGTACCGAAGACTGATAAAAATGCGTGAAGCGACTTTTAAAAAACAACCGGATATAGTATTACCGGCCGAAAAAGTATCGTAACGTCGTTGACGTTTCGACGTCACGCGATCCTCCAAGTCTCGTTTACCTCCCCCCCCATCACCAATACGATACTCGAAAGAATACCCGAAAGAATCGTCGTGCGATCGGATTTTTACGATTTTATCTGACTCGTGTCGCTAGTACTCCATTACAATAATATGTCACAAACGAAAATATTTGAATAAAATATACGTCGCGATAAAATAACGGCGTAGCAATATTATAACATTTGAAATAGCGGCGGCGTCGAAAAACGGGCGGTACAGGCAACATCGTGTGATTTTATGAACCATCGTAGAAAAAAAAATATAATAATATTCGAATATCCGTCCGGATTTTTTAAATTTTTTTCTGGCACACCACGGAATTCGTCCGGTCTTCTACCCTCACTTTCCCCCCCAGTTTTAATATCCTCGTAAACGACATGGAATTATTATGCGTGAAAAACAATATAAAAATACGTCAATGGTTTAGAATCTCCTCTTGCGGTTATTGTTATTGTTATTCTAATAAGTTATTATCAGTATTATAATTATAATTTGTATAAATATTTGCCCGGTGTTTAAGGAACTTTTCTATATAGAAAATAATTGTTTTAAAAAAGACGTCCTAAGGGAATGGGGATGGGTGCAGCCACTGTTATAGATAATTTAATGTATACCTGTAAGCAATGATAAACCATTGCTTATGAAAAAACGATTCTGATCGAAGTTCATTTGATAATGATGCTTTGTCAACAATATATGTCATTTATAGTAAAATAATTAAATAGGCTTTGTATATTTTCTTTAATAATATTTGTTTAATGTTGTATCGACTTCCTCAGTTTTCCTACGTTTTTCCCGGTTTTTCACGTTAGTTGGTAAAAGTCGAAATAAAACTTGTTCCCAGAAAAAAAGGCCTTAATATATTTTAATAAATACTTACATTTTCCCGTTTTTTTCCGGTTTTTCAAATTTTATGAGAAAACTCTTGAGAAAATCGAAAAATAGCTTCCTTAAAGTAGTACCTTGAAGGGTACCTTCCTTACACCGATTTTCTTTCAGAAAAGGTACTACACTTAGAAATCTGAGCAATTCTTCTGGTAGAAAAGTTGTTAACAGATAAAACAAAAATAATAAACATCTCCGTAAAACCATAAGCTTCTTCGCTCCACTCAGAATCTAAAGTTTCGCAACAGTTATAATTATTGTTTTCAAAAGTATCATTTTTTTTTTTTTTTTTATACCATTTCCACCCGAATTACCCAGAGTAAAACGCGCCAGTTGCCCACAACATATTAGTACCATACACACGACCACAATATCACGACCGACTTAAAATAGGGGAGATAAATTCTTAATCAAATGCATATAATAAAATAATAAATACAACATTTTCAATGATAATAGCGATCAGCATACGCTTTATTTCGTCAAAGGAAAAAAAAAAATTGGTACAACGAAAACGTTATAAATACCACAGTGACATAAGCGCGTGTCGCGATAAAGTCAAATTTATTGATGTTAGACGTTTTGTTGTTTTACGTGGTGGTCGACTATCGAGAATCATTACTTGTCGTCTTTTATCGTACACGATGTTCTCTGTTGTCTAAAATTATCAGTTCTGGTAATATTGTACGCCATACGCGCTATTCTATGCGGTCATTAGACAACCGGTACATTTGTTTTAAACGCCGGAAACACCCGCTATAAGGTGGGCAACTGGTCGAAACCAAAAAAAGTATAAACAAAAAACTAATAATTTTTGTTCCAGATTGACAAAAGGCGAACGTGTATGGTATGTATGCGAATTTTTTATTTTCCAAAAGTATCTATTGTTAAAAACGATTTTGTGTATTTTCACGCGATGTCTTCGTAGTTGCGTATAATAATAGATATATACATAAACGGCGAAAACAATTCTGCTCGCGTACTTGCTCGCGGGATTTCGGATAACCATAAACATTTTCGCCCGTGATGTAATACGCTGTTGCGTAATTCGCGTGATCGATTCGATTGAAAAATTCTGTATACGTGTGTTTACGGTCGCATCATCTATACAACCAATGTGTTTACGCTCCGGAACGATAAACAAATACTCCGTCGTGGTTTTTTTTTTTTTTTTTTTTTTTGCGCACTTCGCTATATCGAACATTCGAGACAACGATCGATTGAATGTATAATACGGTTTATAATGCGCGTGTTTAATATTCCGAATATTGTGCAGCCTGTGCAAATCGCGAATGTTAGTATACTTTGAAATAATAATGGACGTGCCGCGCAGTTGTCGAAACGATACTTTTTTTTTTTTTTTTTTTTTTTGCGCACTTCGCTATATCGAACATTCGAGACAAAACAATAATAATAATTAGCATAATATACACGTCGTACGTGTACACCCATTATAAACACAGTTATCGCGAACAAAATTAAATTTCAAAATTACGTAAACCACGACGACGTGTAGCGTAATATTTGAATGAAAATAGTATATGGGCGTTTGTTTGGTTTTTTTTTTTCCTTACGGCATTCGTGAATATTTCGTTGATACACAATAGAATATAAGCACACGGTATTTTTATGAACCGATAAAAAAAATAAAAAAATATATACGTAGCAACGTACTTATATTTAAATATACAACGTGATTTAGAGACAGTTCGACAGTCAATCACAGGTGAACGAACGACAGTGGCGTGTGTAGGGAGGAAATCTAAGGTTATACAGCCCCTCCCCCATTTATTATCTTAGAGTTATACATTTCAGCCGAATCATAAGGGGAAAAAACCGATTTATTGCATATAAATTGGCTATTTGGCTTTTGTTGTTTTCAACGCTTTTAAGTTTTCACTGTCGAATAAGATATAACAAAAGCACATTCTGCGATTTATTAATAAAATCATGAATCTGGGCGCAGGAAAGACAATGGTTAGCAGATTCTGCAAACTCAATAATCAGTGACCTTGGCTCATCATGTACCCCAGACAACACGATGTGTGTTTTTTTTTTCATGGGCTAAACTAAAAATAAAATTTACCCTCACCTTATGACAGTGCTTAAATTAGGAAAAAGAAATTAGAAGAGGGAAGTGTGCGTTCCTCAAGATCATGTTGTGGTTATGTCAATATATATGTTTAAAATGTTCATTTAGAGCCGAAAATAAGGGAAAAGGGAAACAAGAGGACGGAGATGCTCTCCCGAACGGCCCAAACTCGAAAATGTAGATTATAATAGTCTAAACTTAGTATACTTCGTGTACAGTTTAAGTTAAAATTCGAAAAAACTAATAATTTACACTAATTTTAACTAATAAGTATTTTTTGAAGGGTATGTTATTTTTACATCATGATTATCGTTAAAATATTACTATTGTCAAATGTATGTTTTGAAGTGAGCAAATTTGACATATGGAATCAAACAATTCTTAATCACATTCCTGGGCTCGCTGAAATATTTTTAGAAAATTAGAGTTACTCCGCCCTCCCTCCCCCAATTCGGGTACTGCCTAAAGACCTGTGGCGAAAGTTGAACATTTGTTTAGGAATGTGTTATACTTCACACTCCATCCCCGCACCTTTCTTATTTTAAAAAATGAATGTAAATCTTTAAAATCGATTGAATAGTCTTTCGAATCGCGCTGTATGTTATATACATGTATAATACACAACGAGCGTATTTTTATTTTCTCGGACGTTGATACCAATATTGTTATTATTATTATGTATACTGTTTTTCCAAATACGTAATTCGTAGTAATTGTAAAATATCGTCAAAAACAGCCTCTCGTGATATTAACGTATACCTACTCGTATTGTATTATTATGTACATTTACCGACACGTATCGTTCCATTTAAATTCCGTATACGATTTACGAACGTACGATTTTTGTTGCGAGCAAATAATATTATTGTATTGTTGTATCTATAATATGTATTCTACAGTCGGTATGTCAATAACCTTCGACTGCGAATATTCGTCATCGCGATAGTATTACGATATCTTATCGATTACAATATAATAATATAGGCGCTTTCGGTATTGGACAATTTGATAAATTATAATAGTGACACCGACAAATTACGACGTTTAAAAAGAAAAAAAAAAATGTGCCACATAAAACTACAATGACGAGAACGCGCAGATACTCGCGTGTACCGTGCCCTTCTAAAAAAAAAAAAAAAAACGAATGACTTAATTATGTACCTAGAAAATTTGAGTTCAGCGTGGACGATTTAACGGGCTTTAGATTTCAATATTGGATTCAATTGACCCGCTATCAAACTTAAAAAGGTGAGAACATTGATAGTGTTTTGTACGTCGGTTATTTTCTCGATATTTTAATTTTCAAACGATATATTTTATGAGTATACCTACGAAAAGAGTTATCTGAAATTACTAATGAAGGGTTGTAAAGAGTTTTTCGTTTGAAATGATTTATCTGTGCTTACAGCCTTTGAATCAAACTACCCTACACAACCTAGTTATTATTTGGGTCTGTTAAACGACTCTATTTTCCACCAGAAATCTTCCTCGAATCAAAACAAGATACAGCTTTTTGTGTCATTTTGGATCTGTAGTTTTTGCATATCAATGCGCGTTTAACCACACGTTGTCCAGAATCGTTTTTCTTTATCAACGATTGATCACAGATTTAAATCAGACTACCGCATACACCATTGCGTACAACGACGCCCGAATAGTTAGTTAAATCGAACCGCGTCCGCGTTTCTCATTCGATTATGAATATTCCCGAAAAATACCGCGCGCTAATCGAGACTAAAACACCTATAGAGTTTAACCTGCGTAGTATTATATCAGGCGTATAATATATGCGCGGCCGGGAGAAAGGACACTACGTACTACTGGAATAAGAAACAAAGAAAAAACAATCGAGAGTTTGCGACAACACCGCGGAAGAATCCCGGGAGGAGGCGCGACGAGTAAGTTATGGGCGGCGGCGGTGGCGCGCGCGTTCCCGCGGTTTCGGGTGTCGTGTCGCACACAGAAAGCGTGTTTTATTTTTCGTTTTTCATTTTATTTTTTTTTTTTTTTTCTGGACGTTATAATATTGGCGCCGTCGCGATGGCGTCCTCGAGCACGGCAACACGGGCCGTATAAATAGTGTTTGACAATAATAATATACGACATAATCGCTGTCGCCGGTGCGAAACCAAACAATGACCGATTCCCCTCCCGCCCCTCGGTGACGGCGAGAAGTAGGCGGTGGCGAAAGCGTCTCGGAGACTTGGGCGCGCGTTCACAATATCGTTTATCGCGCGCGACTGTTAAAAACATTGTGCGCGCCTCCGATACACGGGGTGCACGCAAACGACGTGAATTATTATTATTGTTGTTGTTATTATTATTATTATCATTTTTTTTTTATCGAACATTATTATGGGTGTACGTTATTATATATTTGATTGTATTGCGTTTCGACGCCACGGCCGCGCCGCCGAGCTCCCGGTTTACGCGTAGGTAAACCTATTGCCTATTATATTACCGATATATTATTATTGTACCGAACGCCGCTGAACGACCGCAGGGCGACAACACGTGGTTTTGCAATAGTAAAAAAAAAAAAAAATAAATCAAAACAAAACGAAATTCCGAAATGAAAAATACAATACGAGCGCCCGTGCGTATGACTCACCGTGCGAGACACGCACACAATGTAATTCTGTACACACGCGCACCACAATAACAATACACGAGCGTGCGCCGATTTCGATTGCGAGGGATTTTTCGGGGGGGTTTTTTTTTCGTCAACGATGTCCACACGTCCCGGTTTTGCGAACCGTGTACGCGATTGTACGTCTTGTCGGACAATAAATCCCGTTGTAGTTTTCAATAATTTGGTTATTTTTTAATTCGCGTCGGTCGCGTCGAACTGCTTTCGGATTATCGGATTAAATGTTGGGAGATTTCATTTTGCGCATATTTTCCAATTTTCAGTGCTATTTATATCGCTTATTTTGGTGAATTTAAATGCATAATTAAAACACCAAAAGTACATTTGTTTAGTGCTATTACTTATTCGAGTCCTGATTACTTACCGCGTATCTCAAACGGAACGAGGTCGGTTTTTCCCCGTACTTTTGACGAGGGGACAAAACATCGAAGAACAATCTCAAATATTCCAATGTTGTATCGTCCGGTGACGTTCTTCGACCATCGCTTCCATCCGCCACTATAACACGTGTTGTCGTGACTGTAAGCGGAAAAACTCTCGGTATTTTTTTATGCGAAACCATGTCGGATAGGCTGCGGACGGGAAAAACATCATTTCTTTCATGGGTTTATTGCAGTGCGGAAAGAACTGTCCGAAATCCGAATAACAGCACCGAGTTTATATCCGACCAACTGAACGCGGTCGGTTCGGTTTTTTAACAACGACACCGCAATCATCTCGTAATAATTATTTCGTCTAATTTATTATTCTATATACGATGTGTTCATTGTATTTGTGTGTGTGTGTTTTTTTTTTAATCTTAACATTTTGCGTTTCATTAGGTTAAACGATCCGTTGCATTTTTCTCGTCCATTTTAGGAATACCGACTGTACCGACTGCTGCTGCTGCGGTCTATACACAACAGCTATTCGGTTTTCAAACTCGCCGCGCGCACGTATACCTTTTTTTTTTTCTTCTTCTTCTCTTTTATATTTATTATTATACGTCTTCTTTTCCTTTGCGTTTTCCGACGTAAGGTCAAACTGTACAACAATAATAATAATACACGGACTTTATTCCCCGTACCTATATAATATGTTTCTCTTAATAATTGCACTTATAATATAAAACACGACGAGCAGCTGCGGCCCGGCAAACGCGTATTTTACAATAATAGCGTCTATAAATTCCAGTCATGCTGCAGCATCACGCAACGCAACCGTAATATCATTTAATATAATAGTGGCGGCGGCGGCGGCGTCTATTTTCCGGAAATACAATACCATAACAATAAGTGGCGACTCCGCGATGAATATAATAATAAGCGTGTGTGTTTTTTTTTCCGACTCCGCACGGCGTCTAGCCCTTGTTATCGCGCGTATATTATAACGGGCGCAATAATATCTCCTCGGATCTGCGAACCGCCGCCGCCGCCGCAGTTATGATACTTTCGTTTTCTTTTTTTTTCCTTTTTCGTTACTTTACTTTTTTTTTTCTTTTTTTTTTGTAACACCTTTTTCGATCTCACGCGCAGCACGCGACACTACACGTGTATTATTACCGGAGAGCGTTACAGGTACACCCGCAGCATTATCATAATGCGAGCCTCGCCGTTATCCGGGCATACGATCGTCGCCGTCGGCGATACCGATCTTATATTTATTTTATTCGGTTGTCGCCTGTTATTTTATCGTCCGGTATCGTCTATTATTCCTTTGTCAACGCGCGTATACAATACAAGTGTACCTACCCGATATATTATTACACTCGTTTTCCGGACGTTTTGTTTTTGTACGCCGACGGGATTTCATATCACGAAATCAAGAAAGAGGACTATACAAATATATATATTTGAATTAATTTTTTTTTTTTTTATTTAAAAATTAAAAAAATGACTGTGTGAAAACCGATGTTATCTAGGGAATAATCTAACCATGTTGCGCGGTAACATAGGTTTTCACACGTATTGGTAGAATTTAAAATGGATGTTACTTAGAAACTATTCATCGGATGTAAATGGGCGATACGTGACAATTTTCAGAAAAATAATTTTTACAGAATGGCTATTTTAAAATTTTCCGAAAATAATATTATAAATAAAAAGTTATTTTTTAATAAAAAAAAAATTAATTCAAATATAAATATTTTTAATCCTCTTTCTTGTGAAAAATATAAAAAAAATATATAATTTGGTTTTCTTCATTATCTCCGTAGATATTCAAGGGATGTGTGTTTGTGGGACAGCCTGTATATATGAACTTTGTGGAATTTGTATTCAAACTTCCAAAGTATGTTCAATTATGATATAGTATCATAGTATATTTCGAAATCAGTTTTTATTCGTCCGGGACATTTTCAAAAAATGTAGGATTATTCGCAAGTGTTGTTACACTCAGACTTTCAATATTGTAATTTATTTTTTCAAATGCTGGTACATACATTTTCTACTATATTTACAGTAATTATAATATCTTATATCTATATATATATCTACGTTATCCATATGGTATTCAAAAGAAATATGAACGCAGATGCATAAATGTTTTCTTATAATTGTATAAATGTAAATATTGTTTACTTCCTCGCGGTCGTTAATTAAGTGCCTGCCTGTTCATTTCATCAACTGCAATATGTTAAATATTATGGTAATATTGTATATGTAAATAATAAATATTTTTGAAAACCGTATGATTTACAGGTACTTATTACCGCAAAAAAACATTCCGTCATGCATTTATCGTTATATATTTTTTTTTCTTAACCCATAATCAGTATTCATATTAATTTTCGCGTGTCATTATGGTTGTTTATTTTCGTATTGTATATTGGCCGGTAAATATTACCGACGGTGATTAATTGCCAAAGCGCCAGCGCGGCGTACGACTCCACAAGAACGATTCGAACGATGCGGCCACGCGGTTCAACCACCGGTCGCGCTGCATGTACCGTGATTATAGCTCCACGCGGGCGTAACGTTCATTTTCGCATTATTCTTTTTGCCGACATCCGACTTGTCTACGATTCAAGTTTTGTCATATTTTTTTTTTTTTGTGTATACCCAAGTACATAATTTTTCTCTAGAACCGCATTCACTATACATATATTGTAATGGTATAGTCTACGATAAACCAGTTGCTAAATACAATAATGTTTTATTTATTCATTTTTGTTTCTCCTCCGTGTCCTTCCGTTCCGCGCCGCAGTAATAATATCATCCGCGATATAATAATATACATTATAATAATTCGGTGTAATATAATAATTTCATCTGTCATTTCCTTTACGATAATGACCGCGGTTCGATTCGATCTACCGTTCGTTGCGTTCAACAGAAAACTCTCTTACTTCTATATTTATACATATATAGGTATCTAACATCTTATTTATCTAGAATATAATATTATACGTATTCTTAACAGACGAGTGGTCTCTCGCGTCGTACAACCACGTTTGTATTATTATTATTATCTGTTGATTTCGTATAATACGACTATAATAATATCATAGCGAAACTTTCTCTTCCATCCCCGTTATCACGATAATCTCACCCGTCGCCTGTCACAATTTCGTCCGCCCGCACTTTATAATGTACACGTTATATGTATATATACTCTATAAATTGCCCACGAACTGGTCGATTACAACAAATGAAATATTCTATTATCGTACCGCCGGTACGAAAAAAAAAAAAAATAATAAATAAATAAAAAAAATCAAGAGTTTATCAACCCAATTTCGATACGACCTACAATTTTATATTATTTGAAACCAGTTTGTGTAAATATAACGCGAGCCGTTTTGGCGCTGCACGTGTCACGTTATATACACATATATATGTATATTGTATACAAATCGATTACGCCGTGTGACAAGATGGCTTTACATCCTATATACGTAGGATACGACGCGTCCCGATAATAAACAGTTGACGTTCTCTTATTCCGAACCTGCGTAAAAATCGACTCGTCTTTTACAACGTTATAACGCAACGTTAGACATGCGTTTTGTTTTTCAATTAAAAATGACACAACATCCGGTTTGGGTACCTGCACGACCGGACACACACTGCGTTACGTTTTATTGGAGCATAATAGTTCGGAATGTCGATGGTATATTAGAGTCGTCGTAAACGAAACGGCTGTCGTTAAGTTGCATGCGTTTTTACTGATTTTGATCGAAAATCGATAATTCGACATTTTTCACAATACGCTATGGGCTATTTTTATAGATTCTGAGTGTGACGAAAAAGTTATCGGTTTTACAACGGTGTTGTTACTTTTATCGCGGAAAACACTTTTACGGTTAGTACAAATACACTGACACATTCTCGTGTCACGCGTTAAAAGATGCGAATTTTTCGTCTAGCGGTAATTTACGTAAACAATTTTTCAAAATTCTCAATACTTTGTCCAAAAAAATGTGAAATTTGTGTTATGTTGGTTTATTTTTTTATCAACACATTTTTGATTAGACACAAATGATTCAATATTTTCACGTAGCACCTCAAATAACGCGGAATTTCTACCAGGTGGTACTTTACCGAAATATTCAGAGTTCGCCCCTTGCCCGTATTATTTTTTCGTTGTCGTTGATTTCTGAATTACTTTGACAACAACGGAAAAATCACGACTAACACTATTCCGTTCATAATCGATTTTTCGTTTTTAATAATTTATCGTAATGCGTATGAAAAATAAATTGAATTACTAAATTGCATCGTATAGTATCTGCCTATATATTATTCTATACCTTGTACACCACTGCCCACCAGGCCTACCGGTGAGCGGTAACGACTCTTTATTATTGTTCGTACAAGGCGAATGTGTAATCTCGAGATTATGGCGGGGGCTGGGGGAAGATGTTTATAGTACCTATATAACGATTTTTTTTTTTTAAGTATATTTTCACGACGGTTGACATATTATTATTATACGTTTTTCCGCCATCCGACGTGTAGAAAAAAAAAAAAAACAAAGACAATGTGTCGCCTACTATATTATATACATTATTTAAAAATGGTAATAATAAAAAAAATAAAAAAAAAAAAAAATGATAATAAATAAATACCCGTCGTCGTGCGGATATTATTAGACCGCGCTCATTATCATACGCCCATATAGAAATGTTTATTACGATACCGGCTGTATGTTGTGCTGCAGCATCGGACACACACACACACACACACTCCAGGTAACTGACGGTCTTGGCAACGGTTCCGAAACGGTAGGTAGACATAATGATAATATTATTATCATCGTCATCATCATCATCATCGTCATCATTATTATTATTATTGTCGGCTTGTCGGCGAACCGAGCCGAACGGACGACGCGCCGGCGGCGACCCCGTGCGGGCGACAACAGCGACAACGGCTTGACGAATCGCGAACGACACGCTCTCGCGGTTCGCGAGGAAATCGGCGGATAGAAAATCAAAAAAAAAAAAAAAAAAAACTTCGGCGACCCGTCGTCGGCGCACAGGCGCGTTATGTACGCACGCACAAATTTTGCGATAACTACGCGTTTCGTTATCGTCGCGCTTTTGTTCCCATCCGCGCCGTTGCCCGAACAGCGGCCGCCCCGAAAGGTCTTGCCGGGGATCGTCGCGTGTCGTCGCAATACGGTCCCGATCGCGTCACAATCGTCGCGCCGGGTACGCGAGCATCCTTTTTGTCGGAAAAACCGCGGGAACGCCGCGGACGGGTTCGACGAGCCGGCGAAACGAGAAAAAGGACCGGCCGCCGCGCGATCGGACGTCCGCGGTCGCCCGGAAATCGATCGCGGAAACCGAGACGGACGAAACGCGCGGTTCGTATTTTTGCCGCGGCCGCAGTGACGAAGCCCGCCGCGAACCGGTTCGCGAGAATTCGCGGAGTTACGCGTCGTTAAGGTACACTTTACCTACCGAGGTCCGGAGGAAAAACTGTCCGCTCGGGATTTCCGCCGGGAACGCCGTCCGTTTTTTCGGATCCGAGTTCGGAAAAAACGCGCGTTGTCGCTGCGCGCGCCTTTGAAATCGAAAGTCGATAGTGTCGGTCACGCGCTCTCGCGGTACACGGGGCAATCGCGGGCACAACGTTTGCGAAGCGCGATGAAGGAACACAATCGAATCCACTCAAAACGGCCGCGCACTGTTCGCACGCGTTATGGTGGCCAATTCCGAATAAAGCGCGCGCGTGCGATATTTATACGGGCACGGACATTGTGTTCCGATGAAAATATGAAAATCTACCGCGCGGAAAAAGAAAATAATAAAACATCGCGCAAACGTTTTCGACGGCGATTCGAGAATTCAGTGCGCGGTCCATAGTTGCGCATAGACTGCCAGAGCTGCTCTGCCACGCATACGAAAAACATCTCGACGGCGTAATTTTTCTATCCGCGCGTTCCAACGGGGCGTTTCTGGAAGGCGCCGTTTACGACGCTTGTTCTATGTGTATAGACATTTTTTTTTTTTTAATATACATACACGTCCAGGAGTTATATTATACGACTGTATTATTATTATGACGCGGGCACTAAACGCCCGAACGCGTACGATTTTCTTTTTAAAACCCTAAAACCGGATGCACGGTAATTGACCCCGACCTTCGGGCTGCGACGGGATTTAAAAGCGCGTAGAGGGTATCGGTATACTGCAGCGGCATAACGTTCTGTTCTGGTCGATAAACCGCACGCCGTGTATTGGTTACACGCGACCGTACGGCCGTGCTCGGATAGATATTATTATGGGCAAGTATAACACCTGAATAATGTAATATTACGTCCATGAAAACTTCAAAGTCAGAGTTGCCGTGTGCAATTATGTTGCAGCGCGAAACAAACAGTTATGAATCGCGCACGGGTACACACGAATGGTATTTACAATAGTAACGCGGGGAGAAATAAAACACGATAAAGTGCATACGAGACACAAATTCGAAGAAAACAAACAATCATCCTGCCAGTGTAAAAGATATTATGACCAGAGCCGCGGAAACCGTTTTTCACGCGGGGTAAGAGGAAACATAGACGGGGGGTACCTGTATCTTTAGCCATATCATCTGTATATTTCCCGAGAACCGTATTCCCCCTCCCAATGACACGTACGCGGGGGGAAAGGCTCCCCTTTCCGTGTTATTTTAGTTTTTATTCTTTCGCCGTGTGCTCGAAATAGAAAACGTATTGAACCGTAACACACAGACGTTTTTTCAAATACTTATATACATACGATATGTAGGCGGTACACGCGGTACGGTAATATGTTTATACGGTTTGTGGATGGCGATGATGTGCGATTTTTTTTTTTCTTTGCGAAAATGTGAACCGGAATCGCATTGCCGTACACGTCGACTCGAGCACGCCTTTGCACATGTAACGCATATGTAAACACAAATAACTGTATTAAATTTCGTATAGTATAAACGTATAGTTTTACGAATTGCAGAATTCAAATGTTTGTTTTTATTATCCGTATGAATGTATGTGTACATTTAATCGGACGGGGAGGGAGCGAAATGATATGTGTACGGGCGAGTGTCCATGTTCCTCCGAAGGCACAACGTTAACGGGATAAAAACCCCCCTCCCCCGAGAACGTGGAACGCGTATAGAATCGTTTAATCCGATAAGCGCCGATTTATAAGTATACGATCGCTTTGATTCGGGCGAAATAATATCCGTCGTATCGGTCGGCATGACGCCGAAGCGAAACCGCCCGAACGGCCGAGGCGCCGGGTTCGAAAACTCTCGGAGAACGGCCGGGCGAATGGATCGGGAACGTTTGGGCCAGGATTTCGTGAACCGATGCTTTTAAATTTCATATAAAGGCCCACTAAATAAACGGTCAATTAAATTACGACAATTACCTTTTGAATTGAGTAATAAGTAAATTACTTAGGTTCACATACGGTTTCTGCGTATCGATTTAGTTTTAAACCATACCGAAAGTCCATTTACACTAAATACACACCTATATCTGTATGTAATACATAACTGTGCGTCAAGGTCTTATATACGATGAGACAACGCGGATAAAACACTACAATATAAAAGGCTCGCTAAACAAACGTTCAGTCAAGCTGAAACAACGAAACTTCTGGTCCGAGCGGGCCGTAATAAAAAAACAGTGTTTTTCCGCCCAAACGGGTCTTCGAAACCGGTCCGAACGGGTTGCGTTCCGGAAAAATTGGCCCGGACGGACCGGACACGGCGTGACGTCGTACGACAATAAATTGTCATTGTTTTCGCCACTCGTACCCGCCTACCCGCGCGAACAACAATCGCGACGGCCGCGATCCGACCGCGGCGTCCCCCGGGTCGCCACCGCGGGTGTAATAAAATTAAACGATTCGAATCGGTTCGCGTCGATCGGTCGCAGCCCTCACGGACGGTTACACGTAAACTCCTGGCGCACGCGGAACTTTTTACCCGCGTTTAAAACATTGCGTTGTAAACTCTTACGTAGCCCCGTTTTACCGGCCCGGAACGGACGGTGTAATCTCCTACACACACACACACACCTCTTTACGTTTTAGATTCTGTGCGTGACGAGGAACGTGTATTGGTTTTACAATGACGGTTATTCGAGATGATTGCGCTCGAGTGGGGCGGGGGGGCGGGGAGGAGGGAGAGAAACGTACGGTTTTACGATTTCGTCGTTTTAAACAGACGCGCGCGACGTTTCACACCCGAAACGGTTCTCTAACGGACCGATGACGAGCGACCGGTATTGTTGCAAAATTTAGTTGAAACATTGATACGGGGCGTCGTATCCCCCGACACGCCGATAACGTCCACGCGTCGTTTCCGTAGATCGGCGTCAACTTCTTGTTTCTGTGGTTTACGACCGATTTGTCCACGTCGCGAAACGAGTCCGTTTCACTTTTTACAAACTTTACTACTGTGTTTGGCCGCAGTAGTCGACGCTGCGCCGGCCTCGGGGCCGCGGTATGCCGGGACGCGCGGTTTGGTGTACCGACAATCCGGTTTACCGCGCGTCATTATCGTTTTCGGCGTGCCGGGCACGCGTTTTACGATAACCGTGCCTGTAAATCGGCGCGCGGGGCGCGTTCAACGCTGTACCGTACGGGCGCTCGCCGCACCGGACCGGTCACGAGACGCGGCGCGGCGCATCGGTCGCAGATCTCACGAACGATCGGCTTTTCCGTTTTGTGGGTCGTCACACCTCCGCGGGGCCGGCGGCGGTCGCGTCGCCATGTCGGTGCGCATGTCGTCCGGAACGAACGGCCGCGGGGCGGTCAATGATAATACGTTCAAGACGACGTTATAAAACGATAATGATAATAATAACGATAATAACGGCGTGACGTACGTACCTGGACTTTGGCGCCACCGAGCTGCTGGCGCGCCTGCAGGGAACCCTGGACGACGGTCGCGCGGCGTGCGGCCCCGCGGGTCTCGGATCCGGACGGTGCGCGACGGTTTTGTCGTGCACGTTGAACGAGTGCCTGCGCCTGCCGTCTTCGGCCGTCGTGTGGTAAGTACCGCCGCCGCCGCCTCCTCCTCCGCCGCCGCCGCCTCCGGTCGCGTTCACTTTGTACGTCTCGCGCCGAAACTCCCGGAGCCAGCGCGTGAACGCGCCCCCTCCGCCACCGCCGCCGCCGCCGCCGTTGACGTTTGAAGAGTCCTCTCTGGAAAATTCGCAAAAACGCACGCGATAAGAACAGCAAAAACAACGACGATTATAATATGAACACGTGTAGAACGGGCAGACCATATCTCGGGTGGTCGGCGGCCGCGTGAAAGCGGCCGCGACGGTGTACGCGTCTGCGTGCGCCGCGAACAGACCGTATAATTACGGCGTCTTTTTTTTTATTTTTATTTTTTTTCTAAAGGTACGCTACGAGTCTTGCGGACTTTATAATAATACTCATCACTCGAATAATACATAATACATAATACATATATATCTATATATATATTATGTATTCGTGAAACCGATTTACTTTCCGGGCACACGGCGATTATTAATTGTACGCGCGTATTTCGCGAAACGTCCGCCGGAGTCGTGAGTACAGCGGATAACATCGTACAGGTCCGAGGGGCCCCGGGGCGGTTCGAGACCACGGAAACCACGGGAATTTTCCGAGTCCGCCCCTCGGAAAATTTCGAATTTGGCGAAAATGCGAAATACACCGCCGCACTACTCTATAATATGTGTAGGAGCCGTCGCATGGCGGCGGCATATGTACAGAGGGGGGGGGGTGGATGCACAGTGTCATGCCCCGCCCGCCGACCTTTGTTTTCGTAGTTCACTGTTCCGCTGTTCGCCGTCCGTTTTTAAATGTCTAAACGTTTCGAACCGAAAACAAAAACAATCGACAGTTTAACGTGTCAATTACGTCTTGTACTATGTAGCGGTTGATAACGCAATTGATACGTACGCGTATGCAAAAATAAAAACCCTCCCGAGCGTATTTATTTTATCGTTAAAAAAGGAAACCTACGCAGGAGACCGGAACCGCGGACAATTATTCGCTCCCGACGATAATTTTAGAGAAGATTGAATTCTAACCGGGAAAATTATAAACGAATTGAAATATTATAATTTTTTTTTTTTTTTTTTTTTTAAATACAATACGACAAAATGTAAAAGTCTCCGCGGCGCAATACACTGAATACGCCGCCGGGCTACAGGGCGGTATCTAATGACCTAACGGAGTTTTGTTGACGTTTTCGAGGACCGATTAGCCGTTTTTATAGGCGATCCCGGCGAACACACGCGCGCGGGTGGTCTCTAAAAGACAATGTAATTGGTAACACTGTGGCAACATTAACGGACGTCAACGTTATTTGTCGTTAATTTCTCATCGCGGCGGAATAACAGTTCATAATAAGAGGCGGTGCACGACCGGCATACGCATGTAAACGCGCCGTAATCGAAATATCGCGTCGTTTTCTCATCGGCTCCCATCGTACGTTCCTTACGCATGGTTATATTAGGCGCACGGTAATGGCGAATTTATGCCCATTGCGCAATGTCGCTGTGACACACTGTGACGACGTTTAACCGTACGTTTCCGCGCGGAAAACAAACGATATATTAGTAGCGTGGTATTGCAGTTGCTACGTTTTCGCGCGCACATACGTAAATACTCAACGGGACGCGGCACACTCACACACGTGGGTCGAAAACTACCCGGGCTGTGCACAGATCCGATTGAAAAAACCGAATTTTCAACTGAAAAACCGGGCGACCATAAAAAAAAAAAAAATTGTTTAAATTGGTTAAGTTGTTCTAACGGACATTTACGGCTGGACGGAGCCGTCCGTTCGAACAAATTTCAATACGTGTTGTTCGAAATATCAATTGTTAAATCGGAATAATTATTGTTGTAATTAGACCAAGACAATATACCGGCATGGTCGATCGGACGATAACTGGCTGACAATCTATCCTTAAGCCGCTATAGGGTGTTCAAGTGCCGTAATCTCTCGCTTCTCAACGAGCGCCCGCGTGATATTATTACGCCTTCCCGGCACGCGGTATTGTAACAACGTAAGTGTAACGCGCGATGTTATTATCGTTAACGTTATCGTTATTTGTTTGTCAACAACGTTCGCGGGCCGGCGTTCCCGCGCGTGCGCCTTCTCCGGCCCCGCGCCAGTGCCGCGCGGTCGCCGCCGCTGCCCGACCCTTTTTTTTTTTTTTTTAAATTTTCCATTCCGTCCGACGAGTCGGTCGCACACTTTTCCCCGGTACTTTCCGACCTGACGGTCGCCGGTTTCGCCGGCTATAAATACTATACGGGCGCCGAGATAAATACGTGCACACACACACACACAAACGCGCACGCGCGCACATAGATACGTTACGCGCGCACAACGATAGCGGTAACAACGCAACGCCGCGCGTTTGTTGCCGTTGTCGGAAACGCGAGCGATTCGTTAAAAACGACCGGATCGCCTGTCCCGGCAAAACGCCGCATTATTCGGTTAGGTCACGCCGCGTAATTTGTTACACCGTACGTGAACGTTTCAAGCGGCCCGCGCGCAGTACACCCGCGATAATATTGTCACGCGCCGCCCGCGCGCTCCGTAATGGCGCCAAGACCGGCGGCGGCCAAGCGGTCCGGATCCCGGACGGTTTTAAAGTCGATCGCGCCGGGATTGCGTTACGGCCGCCGCGCGCACGGAAATTATTAATCCCGCGGTTAATGTCCACCGGCGTGATGACAACATTTGTCGATCGTTTTTATCTTTTATTCCGGCTCCATATCCCTAAGCGTTTACCGTTCGCGCAGTCATTTCCACTTTCTAGTTCGGCGATCCAGTTTCACCGCGTTGATTCGGAATCCGTTGTATCCGATTGGTAACGACGTTCTTTAAACCGTACAAGTATGACGAGTGCGCACAAAAATACCAACAACGAAAAACAAACAGACTTTTTTCATATAGGAGTCGATCCTCAACGGCGGAATATATTTTTAGTAGATCCGAATAAATTTGGTCACCCCTACACGATCCGTACGGGCGATGCGCTCCGGGTGCGGTAATGTTGTAATATCCGCCGCGAGAAAATAAAACCGAGAACGACCCGAACAGTCGCGGAAAAAAATAAAACGGCGCACAGGTATCCGGAGATTTTTTTTTACCATCGGGGAAATATGAAAAAAAAATTTAAAAAAAACAAACTTGGCGGTCCGAAAGTATATTATCGTAAACGCCGCGTTACAAGCGAATTTCGTCATCGACAGTGATAATAACATTGAACTAGTTGAACCGGAAATCATCGTTCGTCGGTCCCGTTGATAACGACGATTTTTTGGCCGTCTTATCGATTGGTATGATCACCGTCAGTTGACGAGATCGCGAAGTCCAATAACCGGCTACCGGTTGTTTCGTTTCGTTGTCCGATTACGAATTGAAATATGAAACATTTTTACACGGGGTGGTGGGGGGGGGTATTTTATTTAAATAATATTTACCTCGCGGGCCGGCTCGCGGACAGTAGTTTGGAAAACCTCCGACATGAGTGTTGACGAACACAAGCAATTAAATAAACCGCAAATCGTAAAATAATATGATACGTCTATCGCTGTATTACACACTCGCGGGATCTAAAAGTCGACGAAAACAAATGGATTTTCGACTATTATTTTGTTATAAACGGTCAACGATATCGATGTGACAATAATGAAGTGATCATTTTTCTTCCCCCCCCCCGAGACGACGACTACATTCTATTATGTACCGACGAGAGACAAGACGAACGAGTCTGGAATGTAGACTTTTCAAAAATGCAATTTGGTTAATCGTTATTTTCAACATAACGACAGACGAAAAAACCGTACAGTACCGCGCGGTAAGCTGCGTGCCGGAATAGACATTTTCACACCCGAGGAGAAAAATACTATAAGCGGTGTTCCCCCCGCCCTCTTCAGAATTTAATATTTATAAAACACGTAAACCCATTTCTCTCCTGGTCCCCTGAGGTACACGGACAAATTCGATTACAGAAGTATCCGTCAGTAAATGCGCATAACCAGCATCCATTTCCCGGTACCGGATTAAGAGTTTACCGGTCCCAGTAGTTTAAAAGGCCCTTGCACTATTTATTACCGTAACAATTCAATTTTATACCTCTTTGCAAAAATTATAAAAAAGTACAATGATTGTACAGAATAATCTCTTTAAAAATGTTTTAATTGCATACGTTAGGCATCTTTTCACTATACACAATATACGCAACATTATTATTTATACACGTGCAATTAAAAATACAGTATTTCTTTTTTTGAAACGGGATTATAATCAGCTATTATGTTTTTTTTTTTTTTTTGGTTTTGATACATGCCTTTTATTGAAGATAAAAATGATTATGAGCGCAGGAATTTTCCAAGCGAGTTTTAATAAATGTATAATTTTATAATAAATTATACCTAAGCTTGCATACCTTCAATGTCAATTCCATAAATATAGCAAATCGTTTTTACTTAGCTTATTACGACTTCGGTTAAAATGTCGTAGTTTAAAATTCGGTTGGGCATAAAATCGTACACAAACTACCAACACGTTGACCGATATCAGTTTAATAGATACCCGTAAAACGTTAAACGACAGATACAAAAATAGCGGTCTGCGGGCGTCGGCACCGGCCGTTAACGGTTGGCGCATCACGTATCAGTTTTTTATTGTCAATTTAATAATAATTTTCGTAATACTGCGAGTGGGTCCACAGTTAGTGACAATATGTACACGGGGCCTTCAATATTTCAGGAATTGGAGTCCGGGCGCCTAGGCTCCGTACTTAACCCGGCCGTGCCCCTCCCCCGCCCAATAGTTCCGGCTTTGGATAAGCTTAAACGGTATCTATTATCCATTTATATTATCCACGCAAAGTTGTATTGCCACTGCCTTTATGATGCATAGTATTTTATACGGTTGACGATAACTATAATTTTTCCGAGACGGTAGTGTTATATTATATGGATACACTCGAAATGTACCTATTTATTAGGTATATTTTTTTTCCAGCGAGATTTTAATAGTACACTACGCCTATTTTGTATTATTTTTTTTCCCTGGCATTCGGAGTCAACTCGGCACGCTCCGTGTGCCCCATGGGTCCACGTAAATTATATTATGTCATTCTCCTGTCAAAATTATTATTATTATTATTATTACACATATAGTCGTACCGAAAATACGGTTTTGAATATTATAATAATATACGGCTGCGTAAACCGCGCGAGTTTTGCTCACGAATGACCGGCGACCGGTCTCGGCGAAATTTATTACGTCCGATAAAAATACGATAATGGATTTGGGCCCGGCCCGGTGCTTACAGATATTGGAAGAATAGTTGTCAAGATGATTTAGACGTCGCTCATAAAAGAAATACGACGTCCGTGGGTTGGAATGGGATAATATACCGAAAATCGATTCTTAGTAGAGCTCGGAATAAAAAACAAAAATCACGTCTATACCTGGCTATTATTTTTTTTTTTCTGCGGGCATGGTGGATCGATTGTTCGAAGGGAGTACCGAAAAAAAAAAATAATAGAAAAAACCGAACGCAACGATAAATCAGTACAGACGAAATGAATGTTCACAGTGAAGCTCGTTCAATCATTATATTGTTAATATTTGTAATTTGTATGCATTTTTTCAACACTTGAACTTCAAACTACTTTTTTTTTTCTATTATCTATAAGAACAACTTTAGATTACGACAAATAGAATCGTATAGAAATGTTGCCGGTTTATAGGTAACGTCGTATCTATTATAATACAATAAACCAAATGTATTCGTACGAATCGAGAATAAATAACATGACAACATAACCTGAAAAAAACACGAATTCACGTTAATTTCATGACGAACTCAAGCACATTTTTAGAAGTCTTATCCGATTACTAGTGAACAGTCGGTACAAATATGATACAATAAACGAGGGTCGAGACGACCAAATTCGACCGGACGACTACGTCGTCACAACATAGTCGGTCGAGTACTTGGTTTAACTGGATTACTTGACTGTTTTATTTGAAAACATATTGTACACGTAACGACTAGGTATGCATGTCTTCAAGGCCGGATAAAGCCATCCAGACCAGGCAATGAAGTTATACTTTAACTGCGACTACAATATACCGTACAAATTACTATTATTGATTCGCGAATACTAACTATTAATGCATTATTGCACACAATAAGACACTAGTTGACAGTCACAATAGTAATTTATATCATATCGCATGACGCGCAAATAATCTAAAAACACGGTTTACCTGAAATTCAATAAAATATAGACGATTTTTTTTTTTCGGGTTTAATATTTTTTTCGAAAACCGACTGTTTTTCGCACAGGCCATAAGCACATTGTCTGTAGTCCCTAATGGTTAATAAGGCCCCGCATAACCCTTCGAACTCGGCAGACGTTTTCAACGAGATCACCGTGTTGACGGTTTGAATTTAAGAGAATGGATTGTCATCGTAACGCTAGAGTACATCGAAATTTAAAATTCTGAATGAAGCGATCTATTGTAGGTTTTACTACGTATTTTTGTTGTTTTTTTTTCTGTCTGTAAACAGCTTTTCTCCTAGAGATCTTGCTGCGATCGAAGTACGACAAGATATCTTTTTTGTCGCAACATTTTGACCTCAGTCGGTACTTAAGAAAGTTCAATTTTTTGAAATGATCATTAATATTCGAAATAATGAGCAAAAACTGGTTCTTAAGGTAGAAAAAAATAAAAAGATTAAAAATAAAGCGTTGTACATTGGCAACCGTTTTTCTTTATTTTTTGTTGACATTAAGTTTTTATTATTTTAATTTTTTTGTTTTAAACAATCGTGAACACGCACATTGTTGAAAAATCAATACCATTGACCGATAGCTCAGAATCGTTTTTCGTCGGCAACGATTAACCGTCGCGTACAGATATATATATATATACAAATTTAATTCCCCTCTGTATATCCTACCTTCCCAACCTATCGCCTACGACCGTGAGACCCGCCCACGAACCGTTTTTTTTTTTTTCTATGTTTTTAACGTAGAATCGGTCGAGCGGACGGCTCGGCAAATTCGTTTGTTTTGATTTTTTTTCCTTCACCCGGCGCTCGTCCGCTCGACGCTCGCATTCGAAAAACCCGAAACGCGGCCGGCTCGGCCCCGCAGTCGTCCGTAATGCCGACCGTAAAAACAACGTTGTTTTTATCGTTTTATCGCGGTTATCGGCATTACGACGATACATTGTTATTATTATTATTATCGTTATCCCGCGACGGGCACGAGAGACTTTCTATACGCCGGCTGCGGCCGGTACACGCACGCCGGGCGCGGAACGACGATGTAGTTTACGGTGTCGTCCGTCATCATTACCGCCGTCGTCGTCGTCGTCGGCCGTAAAACGTGGTCAATGCACTCCGCCGGGCCTTGACAAGGTCACGCGATACGGCCCCGGAGTCGGCCGCCGCCGCCGCCGCCGGACTGTTTTTGTCGTACCCGCGCTCGAATCGAGGCGACCGGCGGCGGCGGCGGCGGCCAGAGAGGCCCGCGTGTATAATGGTAGTGATATTTTTGTTCTTCCGCGGCGTGAACACGCATCGCGCACGGGCACGCGATAATAATATCCGATCGGATACGACGAGTGGGCGTCTCGGCGCGGCGCGGTTTTTCGAATTTTTTGTTCCTTTCGCGTTCATTCTATACGGCCCGTCATCCTACCCTCTGCCACCCCCACCCCCACCCCCGACGACGACGGGGGCGGCGACACGAGACTCCGATGGGCGGAGAAACGAAAAACCGCAGTGCGTCGGACGGCCGACGGCGACGAGCGGTTTTTTCGCGCCCGCGTGTGCCCGCCAGCGCAATGACAGCAATACGGTTTTTATACGGAACAACGGTGGCAGCCGATATTGTTGTTTGGTGCGCGGCCGCCGCCGATGAAATCCGCTCGATGAAAGCGATGCGTAATACGCAATAATAATAATGACATTATGTACAACGCCGCCGCCGCCGCCGCAGTTATTCAACGATATTGTTATATTGCCGTCGACGTGTTCGCTTTCTTCCTCCGCGGCCGTGACACACAATGCGTTACTATTACGGCGTCTCGCTGTTATTTCGTGTTGTCACAGGGCTGCGGATTACGAAACGCGCTTATCGAAATTGGCTCGCTCGCCGAAAAAAAAACGTCGCCGAAACCCCGCTCTCCCCTCCCCCGCCCCGTCCACGATTACGCCTCGCAAATCTCATCCTCCCGGCTTCGTTCGGGAGGCGTACGCGTCGTATAGGCAGGCAACAACGCGCGGCGAAATCCGACCAGACTGTGCGACAGTACGACGCTCGGTTCCCGCGAGTGCGGGCGCCCGTTTGGCCCGCAGGGGGTCGCTAGCTGTTATAAGCGTCCGAATGTACCGGGAGACGAATATCATCGTACGATCATGACGGTACGCACGGTATACTCAATAGTTTCCCGGCGGAATGTCTAACAAGAAAATGATCGCGAGAAATGTTCGCACGGGGAAAATTGTTACAGGAATGTTACAGGAACCCCAGTAGAAAATACATTGTATACGCGCACAGTTAATCCGCGCGGACGATCAAACGTCTCGCGGCGAAAATAATAACACGGTGAACATTCCGTTTTTAACGACGAGTCACGTAGTCACGTCGTCGTTTCGGGACATCTCGCGGTTCGCCGTGCGTATTTTCCGTTGCCGTTTCGTTTGTATAGTTCGCCGGCCTCTGCGTCTGGCCCGTACGTCGCCGCGCCGTCGGCGAACCGTCCGACGGCGGCGGCGGCGGCGGCGGTCGAAGACTGAGACGACGGCCCGGGCGGGCGCGGAAATAATCGGATCGCCGAGATCTCCGCGGCCGCTGCGACTGCGCATGACGAAACGGCGCAGACGGTACCGTGATTAACATAATGGCGCGTTATAAAAATAACATGACAACAATATTAATGAAATACGCGATCGGCGGCCTAACACTGCCGCGCGCACGCGCCCGGCATAAATTATCGGTTAAGAATTCGGAACGACGTGCGCGATAATTATCATCGTTTTCTGATACGAGTGTAGGCACGTCCGCCGATGCATATTTGCGATGCGTATTAAACGCGCGCGAGACGATCGTGTTCGCGAACGGTTCGAAAATTATTGAGGTAATTATTTATGATCGCATTGTTATCGTTCCGACGGCGATTGAACGGCAACAACAACAACAACAATACGTTCGTATCGACAACGCGACCGTCGTCGGATTATCGGCGAAAAAAATAATGGCCGGTACCGGGTTGACGGGCGTGTCACCGTTTTAGGAGGCGTTTCGGAATTCACATCGGTCGCTAACGAAAAACGGTTCCGAGCACGGCCCCTCGTGTTTTGTCCCGTGTTGCCAAGCTAACCCGTAAATCAACGAAAATCACGAAAAACATTGCCGGAACCACAAAAAATGAAACAAAAATTAAATTTTCAAAAAAGTCGCTACAAAGTTTTAGAGTGCAGGAGCAAGATAGACAATTTATTTACAGACACACACATCATATAATAAAACCAATACTTTTCTCCCTTCGCTCAGAATGTAAAACGAAAATTCCACGTTTTAAATTCATACGGTTTTCGACAACTCGTTCTGGATCGCGATAAAAACAATACTCTCTCTCTTCTTGTCTTCAACCGTTTGACTGATTTGTCGAAGTCCTTCCTTTTTGTAACTTAATTTCTTTAACACATTGTAACTATCCTTATCCATATGTACTCGTATCACGGTTTACTCCACTCTTGGTTTTCTTATACCGATATGATCTCATGCGCCACCTTCTATAACGCATTTTGATGAGCTAGTAGTAGATGCCCTATCGTTTCGTCCTTTCGGACTTTCGTACTAAGTTCTTGTTATTTCTTCGTTATGTTCAGTACTTCTTAGTTTGTTAATGTTTCTATCCATTTAATCTTAAGCATTTTTCAAAACATCACATATCAAAAGTCTAAAGTTTTCTTTTTCTTCTTTACCGATTGTCCTAGTTTCACAGCAATATGGAGTTACACTCTACACATACACTTCAGGAACTTTTTTCTTAGCAATAAGATCATATTATTTTTAGGATTTATATCCTGACATGTTTGGTTGTACTATACTGTTATCTAAGTCTGCTATATTCCAGCCATCTTTTGTTATTATTAACTTCCTGAATAATTGAAGTATTGTACTTGTTTTATGCACCATTATATGTGTTTATATTAACATGAATGGTGTTTGTTTTGCTGCATTATTAGCAATAGACATAGGATAAATATTTAATAGACCGGGAATGACGGCCGTTTTACATGTAGAGTTAATACGCTGAAGCCGACATAATTATTAGTATGAGCAAGAGAGACAGACAAGACGTGGTTTTTTCATGATAGAACAAATTATTATACGGTTTTTTTTTTCACGATAATTATGAAAAAATCACGTAAAAATACTAAAAATCATCACAGACTCGACCATAAAAACAAACAACGACCGAGCAGTCGTTTTATCATGATGAATACGGACTACGCATACGTTCACGATATTATCATCATTGTTTTACTGATCCAAGGAGGATATACTACATGAATGTACTAGAAATAAGCTTTGGCGAAACCGCAATGTTGTTGCAGTATACGTATCATGACTTAATTATCATTCCTGGTGCCATGGTGACATGGTGAAAGATATGATTAACAGTGGCCGGTATCGTATTTACGTTTCAGATAAAGAAAAAAACGATATAATTTAAATCTAAACGCAAATAATGATAAATGATAAATAATAATTATTATCTACCGACTACTATCTGGATATGAATACTTGTTGATTTTGAACTGTACATTGCCTCACTCTTCCTTTTTTTTTTTTTTTACCTTTATTCAAGTACTATAAACATTAAACGATACAACATACGCACAATAACGCACTTTGATTTTAAGGTGAATTATCAAAACAGGTAGGTGTATAATGTTTTGTATAATCAATTGTTTTCGTAAAACGTGTGCGCTTTTTTTTTGTACACACAGCGCCCATAGAAAAACGCGAACATTTCTTAATATGTCCCGAGACAACCGGGTTAGGTTACACGCATGCAATTTTATGGTATCTATTTATAATATTAGCTATAATAGTCGCTATAACTATAATATATATCGTTTGGTTAGGCGTCATATTATTTCTATAAGACATCAAATTCACCAAGGCCGCCAGACTGCATTGTGTATGGTGCGTTATAATATATATATATACATACATTTATCTACGGTATGCAGTGTCTATTATTATTATTTTTTTTTTATTTAGAGATATTCTTGTCGTTGCAAAGAATCTCAAGGATATAATTTTGTTATTTTTTTCTCCAAACGGATAATTCGGCACACAAAAATATTTTCCAACACGTGTGTTGCGAAAAATAATAAGTCGGGTATAATATTTGAAACCGAAAAAAAAAAAATAATAATAATGATAATAAAAGAAAAAAGATCTCGGACGCTAATCCCGGCGGCGGATATATCAAAAACGTGTTTTACCATCGAGTGTAATCTTTTTTTTGGTTCGTTAAACACGTTTAGCACTCTCCTTATATTATTAAATACTCGTATTGTCGAAAAGAATGGTAATAGGTAATCTGTCGACTGTCAACTGTCTTCTAACACGAAAAAAAAAAGAAAAGAAAAAATGTTTTTCTATAGTCTTCCCCCTCACTGGCATATCGTCCGCGTAGCTCAATATACTTTTACGAATATTAATAATTATTATAATCTCGTCGTATCGAGAGAGTTTTTTTTTTTTGTACTAATAAATTATAAATTCGTAACTCAAAATAATCCAAAATATAATAATACACATTATGTAAACGCAGAAGATTTTTCGGCCGAACAGAAATAATTGATAATTGAATACGAGGTTCATTATAAGTTGTTATTAGTGGTAAAAAAAAAATTAAGTTAAGCGTAATGCAGTAGTATTTTTTTTATAAGCGTTTTAAGTTCAAATGTTGACGAAAATCGTCTAAATTACAGCATTACAAAACACAGTATAATGGAACTTCGCTCAAATTTGTATTATCATTAGCGATGATTACTACGCTATGATCGTTGCGCTAAAATATAAATTGTATCACTCTGTGTATCCTATTTTCCAAACTTCCCGTCTTCAACAGTGGCAGCTGCAACATTATATATTTTTGTTTACATTGTGTATTTTCTCAAAATTCAAGAATATTACACGATAAACAGTTCAAACAAACGGCACTATATTAAGTTCACGGGAATTTATTAGGTGGAGCATAAAATAAAATAAATATCTTTCAATATTATAAACAGGGAGAATGTAGGCTAGACTTGTGAAAAATCGACGACAAACCCGTGTCTTTATTAATTCGTGAACTTTTTGTCGAATATTATAGATGTAAGTATGTTTTATAATCGTCTCCCCCACCACATCAAAAAAAAAAAAAATTTAAAAAATACAATGTAAATCACTGGGCTATTATCTATCACGTATAATATTATATAGAAACAGATTACTCGGCGCGGTATGTTCGGCCCGGGACCTTGAAAACAAAAATACTATGGAATGTACACAAAATGTCTAAAGCAATGACACCTACATATATATATATATATATATATGTATAGGTACGAGAGACTGTATAAAAAGAAAAAAAAAATTAACGATACGGAACGAGGAACCTTATAAACTCGAGCAGAGTGTTTTGTTTGTAGGGAGGAAAAAAAAGGCGACTACCGACTTTATTTTAGAAGACAAGTCGGGAAGGAGGATATATATATATATATGCATATGTATACATATGACGTGATTTCATTTATATCTGTACGCAACAATAGGCCATTGCAACCGAAAAGCGATTATAAACAGAGTATTATCAGTATAGTATTTTATCCCTTTTTGACGTGGTATAATACGCAAAAATCAACAAAAATATTGTACTAAACGTGCCTAGGTTTTCCCGTTTATTTGTAGAAAACTGCAAGGGGAAAAATTGTCCTCCTCAATGTACCGAGTATAGTTGAAAAATACAACAATAAGTTATTCAAATAATAAAAAGAAAAAACACGAGTCATAGTAGAAACCGATAAATCTATCGCTTCGCTTAGAATCTGCTATTAAAAAAAATTTTAAAAAATTGATAAACGAATATGAGCCGACCATATTATGCGTGTGCGTGCATTGACAGTTGGGTAGGATATGTTTAGACAGTGCGACGACCACCGCCGCTGCCGCCGAACACTTTTAAGGATACCCACAGGAACTAAAATATTATAATGATCGCGCACCTATAATATTATAAACGTACATATTTGTTATTGATATTACTTTGTATAGCCGATTTCCGACGATAAAATCATATTCCATAACGAATTATATAAGCGTACCATTACGGTGGTGTTTTTTTTTTTTTTGCAAGCCTTACGACACATAAATAATTTACAAGTTAAATTAACGAAAAAAATAAATCAATGCAAATACACTACATAATAGATAATACCAATATTATAATCTATGTAAACCTTCATGCAATTTAATTCATATTGGAATACATATAGGTAAATATAATATATGCATACCAGTAGATACCTATATTATGTATAATATTATTATTGCGATAAAAAAAAAAAATTGAAAATATTCAAAAATATTATACGCGGTTTTCGGAATTTTTTTTTTTCCTCCCGAAACGATTTTTACGTAGGTACATTATATTACCTTCGTAATAATATTATAAATGAAAATACGTTCTCAAGGATTTCGCGCATATATTACATCGAGTATTCGCGTGACTGATATTTATTATTTTTATTTATTTTTTTCTTCTTCTTCTTCTCGCCAACGAAGACGTTTTAATACGTTCAAGGCATCGGTTTTGCCGATACTGCTGCTGCTGTTGCTACTGTCGGTGGCGGAAAAAAAAAACACCGGACAAAGGAATTCGCATTAAACAGCGCAGTCGTCGCGCGTAACCCGACAAGGCAATCCCGACGACGACTACGAGACTCGTATATAATAAAATATAATAATATATTTCAGTTTGGACACGATCTTACGAACGTATATCGTTTCCTTCGTAGAAAAAAAAACCGTCCGACCGAAAAACTCGTCGTCGGTTCTCGTATAATATATTATTACGACCCGAAACGGTGGATGAGGGGGAGGTAGGGAGAGCGAAGCGATTTATAATTTATAACACGTATTAACACGTAATTTCTACGAAATTTCAAATTATAGCTTAAAATCGAGCGTCGTTATAACTCTTCGAAAAATTCAAAATAATCATTCTTGCGAAGGGCACAGGGTAATTGTCTGAATTCGAAAATTGTTCAGTGTAGCAGTTTTTTGCATTCAACATCGAACACCGTCAATATTTTTTAACCTTTTTTCACTGAATGGGACTCAGTCGGACGATACGACGTGATATCTCAAAACCGACCGAATGGATTATAACTGTCCTTCTTTTCCCACGTCCTTCATAACATAGTAGTAGACGTAAAATTCAAGGGTTAGTTTTTTTTTCTGTTGTTGCTGCGTCAACATTGTTTTTGCGAGGTCGTAGAAAAAAAAATGCTTATCTAATTTAATGTTTGAATCGCGCGTAGCTTTTTGATTAATATAATATACGAAGGATACTGCAGCAAACAAGTTAAAAATGCAGAATTAGTTTGGAATTTCATATTTTATCGAGTACCTATAAAGTTATTGGACGTTTGATAAATGATAATAAAACGAACCGTACGATTAAAATATTTCACAGACAAATATTATCGCGTTAGAAAAAATAAAATCAAAAATATATACCTATATAATTGCGGGGGAGGGGGCGTCGGCGGTCACGCACGCGTTGGTCCCCGTGCGTCGTCGACGTCGAATTTCCCATAAGGTCTGCTGCGTGTGCCGCCGACCGGATCTGTCTGACCGTAACCGGGGTTATGGTATTTTGTCGAGTTAAAAACGTGGGCATGATAAAATTATTACGTGTGACGTGTGCGTGTGAGTGTGTGTGTGTGTGTGTGTGCATCGACTTGGACCTATCGGCGCGTGAAAATAGAAGACCGTTTTTCGGGTTTGAATAAAATACGTGTACACGTATAAGCCTAAAAATAATACTGCGGCGAGACGGCCGTCCCGAGTAGCTCTCGTTAAGATCCGGAGGGGCGAATGACGGTCGAGGTTTTTTTCAAATATTTTTTTATGTTTTTTTTTCCTTCGGGAAACTCTTTATTTCGTTTTCCGGATACGATTGTGTTATAATATACACGGACGGACAGACGAATGTGTCGTTGCGGTCAGGTTAGGTCATGTACCGCAATATCTCACGTGTACGACCTAATAATATAATACGTATATATATTTACCCCCCCCCCCCGCCGCCAACCCCCCTCCCCTATATAAGCCCGTAAATCGGTCTGTACGACAATAAATTACTCGTCGGTTAACTTGTTGACTCTTGCGTGATTTTTCGTTTTTTTAAATAATTTGTCCTTAATCACGCCCTCTACATTATAACACAACTACGCGGATCGTCCGGATGTCACGGAGCATATCCGACTATTTTCCAAAACCTTTTGCTCTATAATCGAGCGTCCGGGATATAAATAGTTTGTTCTGACACGCGTCTCAAAGGCTCCTCTGAAGACTTTTCTCTTCGGTGACATTCACTCTACGCACGCGTTTCACGTCCGTATTACTGTTGCTGTTATTACTGTTGAAAAGTTTCTTCTCGATAATATATTGAATCGCGTTTAATATTATAATACGATCTTCGAAGCGAATAGTTTATAATTGTTAATTTTATTACTAAAAGCCGCTTTCGGCGATCCTATACGTGTCGTTCGATTTCTCGTCGAGCTCTTATCATTCATTATCGGGCGCTCTTATCGTTTTAATAACTTGATCCATTAAAATTCGTATATATTTTACCCGTATGTTATTATAACATTACAATAATATAACAATCGGTTGTCTACCCGGGGACACATTACTATAACACGGCTACTATTATTATTTTTGTTTTTTTTTTCTCAACCTGCACGGACGGGCGCGCGTGTTGTCGACACGTCTCCCGTCGGGTGTTTTTTTTTTTTTTTTTTTTTTTTTATTAGTTATTATTATTTTTTTTTTTTTCTTCACTAGTCGGAATTTGTGTGTTATTGTATACACGCGTGCGCACGAACATTGTACGCGGTCACTCGCGATAATTCTGTGGGGGACTACGACCACCTCGCGTTATCCGACGTATAATATACAACCAACCGTCACATTTTTTTTTCGAACGGATATGTCTTCTCCGACAACAATAAAAAAAAAAAACCCATCGATATCTACGGGGTACTATTTTTTTTTTTAATGTTGCGAGAAATGTATTGGTTTTGCAATGGTGTTTTTCTTTTTTTATTCTGTGTACAAAAATTCTACAAATTCTACCTGAAATCTTGTTCCAACGTATTAAGTGTAGCGCCTTTTCTAAAAGTAAATTTTACCTACTTGATACTTTGAGCAGATCATTTTTTTATTTTCCTATAGAAGTTTTCATAATAATTGAGAAAAAACATAGGCAAAACGGGAAAATTTACGAAAGTAATGCTTTTATTATTTTCAATTTTGTTTTTTTATTGTAATTTAGTTAAAAATATTCGTGATCTTGAAACTTAGACAGAATACTCATATTTGTTTTTTTTGGATGTGGTAATAAAATTTCCAAAAAATGTATGCCACTTTTGAGCTATTTATAGACATTTTAGTTCTGTGAGGTTTTACGCAATTTGTATTCGATAAAATTATTTGACATAACAGAAATGCATCAAAAAAAATTAAATTTTTTATGTAATATTATTTTTACATGAATTTTAATATCAAATTTTGAAGAAAATGGTAAATATTACGGCCTTTTAAACACGTATAACTGAATATCACTCCGAATCGTTTTTAATAGTCAATAATTTATTATTGCTCACATATATAAATTCAATTTCCTTCTATAATTAACTTCCCAACTTCTCACTTACAACAGTGGCTTAGGATAGTATTTGGGTAAATACAATGCTTCGAAATGTTTAGGTGCGATAAAATGTAATAACTATCATCGTGTTTATCGACAATTCCAAAATACATTTATACGACTTGTTTTTTTTTTTGTATTAATTTTATTGTATGGTTTTGCACGAGTCGACTGTCTCACCTGATGCAGTAATACTAAAAACAACAAAAACGTTTATCGTGAACAGCTTTTACACAATAATATTGGTATTAAACAGCTATACGCATACGTATAGAAAGTCACAAACTAGCTAGTGAGTGAATATTGAAATATTATGCGTAGGTGCACATTTGCACGCCATCTGCAGTGTACCTGACACATATATAAAAAAATATCAGTTCGCGGCTTAAATCCAATGCACTTCAAATCAACAAAAGACACGTTAAAACGTCAAAAAAGCAATAATTATAGAAGGGTTTAATAGCCCCACCCCCCTCTAAAGGCTTTAACTGATTAAATACAATTGTCTAACATTAAAAACCCGATTAACACAAAGTAATGTTTTTTACATATAATAAATTAAAATTACTTTATGTTAGTCGATTTTGTATAGTATTAGAAAATTGTACTCAATCAGTAAGAGCCGTTAGGGAGGGGACTTTTAAACTCATTTACCACTTTTACTTTTTTAAATGGCTTTTTGTGGATTTTAAGTGCATAAAGCTCGAGTACTTAAAGAAAACAAATAAAAACAATGGTTGATGAATTTCGTTCGCGATACTGACCACGCAGACGTCATAACAATATTACGCAGTCATTAATGTCTCACCTTGTGTTACATTATAGGTAATAACTCGTATTAATCGTTAAACAATAATAATCCGTTTGAGTGGTAACGACGGGAAATTAAATCGTGTGAAACTTGGCTATCAATTCGTTTTAATGGCAAACGCGTTTTACGTTATTATAATATATTTTATGTAGGTATGTTACGTGTACATATCCGGAAAACGAAACAATATAATATTTCGTTTGACGCGTTGGCGGGAGATTTAATATTTTTTTTTTTTTTTTTTACTCCTCGCCTTTAAAAGTATAGTATATTATTATTATTATGAGCAATCGCAACAGCAGAAATGTGTCCGGACAATGTAACGTAGGTATATTATAATATTTAAATACGGCTTTAGCTAAATAATAATATAAAATAATGAACGGTATAAATTATGTACATTGACTGCGATCAGACTTTAACCGAGTGCGTTCGTAAAGAAACCGATATATGCATATATATATATATATTTAAGTAATGAGAAATTTATTACCATTATTATTAATTAGAGCTTCCTGTTTTACGTGTACACGTACATTAATGTATTCACGTATTTCTCGTTACATATACGCATCTTCACTTAAACACGGATAGTAAATTCGCGTGTATTAAGTATACATGCACGTGAATGCGAATTTTCCATTCAGTTGTACACGGACTTCGTGTTCAAGTATACATTTTATATTACGTTTTCAATCGTGACCTCTATTGATACTTTTCGGGTTTATTCGACCTCGATGTCTCACAAATAATCTTCCGCCAAAATCATCTAAATGATTCGACTCATCCCCTCAAGGTTTAACGTGCTTCTTTTTTTTCAACTGCGTCTTTTCGCCTCGTCCTTTCCCAAGATGTCTCATTCCTCTATTGGGTTTTGTTCCGACGTTGTCCGCAGTAGTGACCGGTGTTAATAGTTTCTATTCGTGCACGTTTGGCCAGCTGCAGCCCGTCACAGTTTTCCTGGTTTTTCAACGATCTCTAAAATATCGGTTTCTACAAACGTTATCTGCAACGTTACATTCCCCTTCGTCTCCGATCTCCTCTGGTCACGTCATAAGAAATAATAATATTCTTTAAACTATACTAATCTGCAATTTATTTTTAATATATACTAGTCGTGTCCATCTATCGTGATAGCCGATAGGTAATGGTAATGATATAATATGTACATCGTTAAGAAACCGTCGGCGCTTTTAATGACGGTCTATTTATATTGATCAAGATCGGATCTATATAGTATATATTTACGGTTAGGACACTTAATTACCATAAACGAAATTGGGGGGGGGCTAATTGTTCATTTTTTTTTTGTATTTTTTTTTGATCACATTTATCGGTTTCTTCATTTACAACTAGAAAAGTACTTAAACGTGTAATTTCGATTTTGATAGTACAATCAGATTTAACGTAAACACACGCAAAACAAATTTTTAAAATTTAAAAAAATAATTCACTGCCTAATAAGTAATATTACACATCAGTCACGAAAATGAATGAAATACACGGTTCTGTCAATAATTTTTAATCGTACTATTTTCATAGACAATAATATCGTATATCATTATTATGACGTAATAAAATTACATAGAAAACTGTCTACGCATTCACACGAACATCCGGTTAATATAATAATGCCTACCTAATATTTTATTATTATTATTATTATTTTTTTTACATTGTTATTATAATATTATCACATTGTTTGGTATGTTATACTCAGGACGTTCACGTTAATCTTAACACAACATCATCGGGCATCATGACAGTTGCTTGTATGACGAGAGGATTTTTTTTTTTTTAATTTGTTGTAATGGTTTTATATATATGAAAACTGTATAGGAGACGAATAATTAGTCGGCATGCGCTGTGTCGTATCCATAATATACAGATACGAAAATAATATCTTTTAAAAAGAGATAACGTAAAATAAACAATTTTTTTTTCACGTTCTATATACGCATATTATTATGATTTTCGTTAATTTGTCTTATTTATATTGACTAGTTATAGATAAGACTCCGAGTATATTCTTCGCTAGTAAGAGGACGTGATATGCACGCGTTGTCTCCGTCTTACAAACGAACGACAAAGCAAATACGCGTTCAGCGGGAACAACTTTGGGCTATTAGTTTTAATATCAGAGTGAATCGACTCATATTAAGACATGAACACTATCTGTGCTACGTTTACGCGATGTATTAATTTCCAAGCGAGATTTTAACGTATCATTCAATAATTACGATATTTCGCACATTCGTCGAATTTCTATTAAAAATGTAAATATCGAACAAATAGCAGATAATGTTGCACAGATAACGTTTGACAATAGACCAACAGAATTTTTTATTCAATTCGCCAGATTAAATTCAAAATCTATTTACTATGCGCTGCAGGTTATACTAACTGTATATGATTCTTAAAAACTTGCTAATGTGTTTGTATTATGACTATTTACGTGCAACTGTATTCCCGCGTATTCCAGTAATTTTAACATTTTCGTTATTTGTGTTTGTATTTTTCCATTACCCAGTTATGACCTTAAATAATAGTATATGAAATTAAGTAATCGAGAGTAAAATTTGACAAATTACGGGGAAGGGGGGCTAACTTCATGACTACCTAAAACTGCCTCAGTAAGCGGACAGTAGATTTGGGATACTCGTCGGACCTAATTTTCTATGGCCGCGATCCAATGGTATTGTACTTACGATAAATCATAAATCAATGCGTTCCACAGAAAAAACAAGACAAGAGATGATATTATTTCTTGTTTTCTTCCCAGATACCCTACTTTTCGCTTGTGCGACTGATATTTCGTTTGCGACCTATCCCGCTAGAAGTTTTATTAACTAGGACTTTTAGATTCACCATAGCGGTGCGGGCCGTCACGTCATTGTAACGATAGGTAGGCATTATGTAAACGCATAATATTTATATAGCGGCCACTTAATTGCAAAACTGGAAACCGCACTCGTCAATAATCAATCGTGATTCTATAGAACGAAAAAAGAAAATAATAACAATAATCGGACTTTATTATCGACAATAATGACGTTTATTTCCTAATCCATCAATACCATACAGACACTGCGTTGCGGCAACCGCGACGATGAGAAAGCAAAAATATAAAAAAAAAAAATCCGTTTGAAGTTATTGCCAACAATTTTAAATATTATACGCGAGCGTGTTTTAGGAGCGATGATGAATAATTCCGAACGATCAATATTCCCCCGCGAGATTTATGACATTTTACCAAAGCGGGAAACGTTTACATACATAGGTAGGTAGAGATTTTTATTATTATTATTATTATTATGTATACATTGATCACCGCCCTAATCACCGCCGCGTTCGTATAGCCACGTATATTATTAGGTAGGTAAGTATTTTTTTTTTCCTTTTAAACGCGGCTTCTATAATAACTTTTAACGCACTCATTATACAGCTTGCACTGCGGACGGATAATTGAGGGTGTATATTAACTGCGCGCGTTCGTATAGATGCGTGCGACAGAAAAAAAAAATAATAGCCAAATACCTTCCTAGCTAAATAACAATATTAAGGAATAGAATGCTTTTTTTTTTCGGAATTATTTTTTTATACACAAAACGTTACAAGGACATAGGTATATCGTAAGCGACGGATGTAACTGAATAGTATAATAACGATGATAAAACAATAATAAGGGTATAATAACGATTCGCGAAGAAGATCGTGATATTTGGTCGTGTGACCGACGACCTGATTTCGGGTGGAACGAAAACGAAACCGTTCGATAACGTGTATTAATAATACTTTTCGACCCCAAACGCGAATAGCTGTGCATGGGTAAAAACACCTACATTTTTTTTTGTGGAATCAAAGGACTCATGTTCGGATTAGGTGGAATGGGTCCAGGTGGACCACGACCCTAGGGCATCAAGACTGGAGGGGCTCCAGTATTTATCACGGTACTACTAATCATATACGATATTTATCTATAATTGTTTAATGATTAACTTTTTATTTTTTGATATTTGATCGATTTTAATAATGTTTGGAATAATGAAGGAAAAAATCATCCGTGGGACTACATTATCGACTTTTGTCGAACACGTGTTTTTTGTAAAATACAAAAACAACAAACGCACGCCGTCAAAAACCGTGCACCCCAAAATATACTATTGTATTTCAATGGGCACATTTGAATTTCAAATATCTCTAAGAGTAGGTGCTCGCCTCATATATATGTTTACTATTGAAATAAAATTTCTGTTTTATAAACATTCCGTGATTTAATGAATAAGCTTGTTATTATATACTTATATATTATATTGTTCGAGTTTTTAATAATATTCAGTTAAAATGTGATTTTTAACATACCTATAGGTATGTGTACCTTTCAAAATGCGCAACTAAATTAAATATGTAGATTTTCAATTATCACGGTATTTTCAAGAACTTAACAGTGTAATCAAATTTTACAATTTAAATCAATCAGTGACGTATTTAAGAGGAAAGATCAGATACATCTCCCCTCTTGATCTTTTAATAACTATTTATACGAATACCTAAATTACTATTATTATTCTATGCATTTTTCGTAATTTCTGTACGTACACCGATATTATTACAACATATTATAGTCTTTGTCAGGATAATGAAACCAAAATGTTTTATTATTATTAGTTATTTCTTTTTTTATATAAAACCGTTTTCCTTTGTTATTAACACTTCCGTCGCGGTGCATTTTTAGTTGCTAAGTGCAGTTTAGTTTTACTGTTGTAAAATATTACAACAGTTTTACACCTTTCCTCCATTACATAGAGGTACATACGTAGGTACCTAAGACGGCGGCCATGTCGGTACCCGTGCGCACACCTTTGGTCTCAATGTTTATGTTGATTTTCTATACCCCCTGCAGGCTGAAATGTATCTCTGTACAGGTCAGGTACCTGCCTATATAAAACACGACTTTTCGAATGTATCGCCCTAATAAGATTTTGGCCAATTTCCAATCCGATTTATCAGCCGCCGACGCCATTTGCCGGACGTATATTATTATTATTATTTTGCACTCTCTCCTCCGTACAAGAAAAATAATAAAAAATTATCATAATTTTTTTCTTCTTTTAAATGCGCACGGCGATAAATAATAGTGATAATTAATAATATTACGTCCGTGACCAACGGCGGCGCCCGCTACTGTATTTTGATCGGAATTTTAATTCAAAGCTATTTAAGAGGTATTTTACTCGTTATTGGTATTATACTCATATTCGTGATCGCTGCCTATATACAATCTAACCTATAATATCTCCTTTTTAGTACCGGTATATAGTTAAGGATGCTGGATACAGTTAGGGGCAAAATGGCCAGTCTGGAAATAGGAATTTTCCAGATTGCCTGGATCATATTATGGCCTAGTGGCCTGATATGTGTGTCCATAATATTTTACTTACAGTATTATTTAAAATTTAGTAAAACGTTATACGAATACCAAGACACATATTATAATCTTATTTAAGTAGGTATCTATTGTTTTTTTTATGCATAAATGGTTTAAAGTACCTACTAAATTAAAATGGATATTGAAGAAAATAATTTTCTGAAGTTTTTGGCGGTCGAAACTCCACCACCCCCTCTTTCGCACAATAAACCGAATAATTTTATAATTCATAATTTTTACAAATTCTATATAATATGTAGTAGCTAATTATTATAGTTTGATCATTTTTTTTAAAAACTCCATATATTTCCTTGTAATTTTGGTTAAAAAATTCCTACGTCGTGTACTTCACCCATTTAGTATTGATATACCAAATATCAAAAAAAAGCCTAAAAATTTGCTTGAAACTCATAGACCACTCCCCTCCCTAAATATGAATCCTGGTTGTGCCACTAAGGATCGAGTTCATTTCATATATAGTTCTCAACGTGAGCAAATTTTAAAAACGAATGAATATAAGACTTCGCACAAAGTTGGGAATGTAGAGAGGAAATTTAATGTACATCTGTACGTAAAGATTAATCGTTGCTAACGATTTTTAACCGAGTTCGGTAATTCGTGTTTTGAAAAGATCGTACGATACATATAAGACACTACACTCGAATTCGGAGCGAAATTCTGGTAGAAAAAACAGGAAAAACAAAAATATAATACAACAACATCGTTGTAAAACCAATACTACATTCTTAGCTACACTCAAAACCTAAAACATACCAAGATCTGAACGCATCTGCTCGTCCAATATTTTTAATGGCATATATTACTTTTATATTAGGTGATTTTTTTTTTTTAAATTTTTTGAAACTCATTACGCTCCGAATCTAAAACAACAAATTAAAATGATATGACTTCAACACGCGTGTCGATGTTTGATATCGTACTGTCTAATATTATACGCATAAAAACACACGCAGAACACATTATTTTGATACATTATCCCGACGTCGTGTCAGCTTTGTAATTGGTTATTTTTTTCGGTCAATGTCATCCGGGCTTCCGTCAACGGCGACGTCGGAATGCGTCTCTCGTACGCTCGGCGAGGGATGCATGTGTGTGAAGCCTCCGGGGATGTTGGTCGTATACTATTATAATATTATCTGTGTGAGTGTGTGTGTGTGTGTGTGCTTCTTCAATTGTGTGTAACGGTACAAAAAAAAAAAAAAAACGTTGGCGGCCGGACAAAACGAACGACGACGCCGCGCGCCGGGTTTATAAACACGTGGACAAAGGCGGAAAATCTTGATAAACGATCTGCGGGGCGATTTTTTTTCCTCTTCCAGTAGTTAACATCACCGCACGTCTATATACTCTATACAGGTATATAGGTAACCCGGTATATACCTAGCTACCTACGTATACATAGGTACGCACTGCGATGGCCTGTGCATGTTTGTGCCGTGTGAACTTGAGAATATTATACACTGTGAGGAAACCGAACAAAAGCCAAAGACTTCGTCAAAACGACCTGCGCTATCTGCTGTTGCTGCCGTACTCTGGCCATTAATGCGCGTCCGCTTTTTAAAAAATAATAATAATAATAAAAAAGATAAATGACAGACAGTCGGAGGAGAAAACGAAACGCATTATACATAATATACTCTTACACATGCACACACACACACACACATACGCTTATATATACAAATAATAACAATAATAGTACGTCACGATAAAAAAAAAAAATGACTGTATTTTTTTTAATACTATTATTATTGTACATACTACACTCGTTTTCTTACGAGTACTTTAACGGACGATAAACGTTGCAGTGCAGAAATCGTTAGAAATATTAATAATAATAATTGTGTAGGTGGCTATACCTGCGACATTACATTATAATATACTATTTATAAGTACTTATACCAGCCACAGATACATAAAACAACTGTTAGATAGCCGACTATATTATAATATGAGTAAACCTAACTCTCCGTATGCCATACACGCAAAAAGACAAAATATTTTAACGATTAACGTACGAATTATTTGTTTACGCTATGAATCAAGTGATAAATACTCGTATGAAAAATATTGATAATCAGGCACAATTTAATACTTTCATATCATCACGATCGAACAAATATTTCGTAGGTTAATCGATACAATTTGCCTTTTAAGTATAATATGGATCTTCAGACCTTTTATGAGACTTATCACTTTCCGCCGGATCATGATAAGTGATAATAACATAATCTAACATAACCTCCCCCTCCCCCCAAAAAAGTATTTACTATTCAAGTTCAAATTTAATAACGGTCCTGAGTGTAAACACTACGAATTTAATATCATCGAATTGCATAAATGCGCAGCACTAGTGCATTGATGCACAAAATTGTTAACTTTTCTAATTCAAAATGAGACCTACCCGGAGTGAATTTCACTTTTTACCGTTTTACCGCTAACTTTAGTGGTGTTTGAACCACTGGCGGTTTTTTGGTTTACGCTCAGGACGTTGAACTCCCTTGAGAGTTTGTACTAGTTTTTTGTACTTTGGTTCGGCCGGTTTTTTTTTTCTTTCCTCATCGCCCGAGAAGAAGTGAGACATGTATGGGATTCTATCATAGGCACAGTAAAATATCTAGTCGTTTCATATAATATGTTATTTCGGTACATTTTTGTATTATTATAGACATATAACGATCGGTTTTTGTTTAAAAAAACCTACGTGTGTATACATCAATAATGATTACTATTCCCTACTGTGTATCTGTAAGACGTGTTGCTGAACTATTATAAATCGTGTATAGTAACAATCAATGTGTAGGTATTTAATAAAACGTTATTATTTTGAAGTTCACGCCGTACATCATGATGCATTCATACGCCCAGTCTACCATAATATTATTATTAATATAAAGCATTATTATTATTACTTTTTTTTTTTTTTTGAAAGGGTTTAGTCGTTATATATGTATATTTTTTTAAAAACAAAATTAACGATTGATATAGATTAAAAAAGAGTTATTTATAATTTTCCGAGTATTGAACCGTTTAACGCATATAAAAACATTGACTTTAATATTATTATTATTCATCGTACATGTGGTCTATCGTCGTCGTGTACAAATCACTTTTTCAAGGTCAAATCGAATACATTATTTTTTTCAGAAGAACTATCGTTGAGACGTACACATATTATTATTATCATATAAGTATATGATATGATAGTAGCAAAAATTGACATAATCTATTCAAAAAAAAAAATACATATATATACATTTATAAAAAAATATATGAAGTTAAAATGATGATGTATTTGTTCATACCAAAAATCGCAGTTCATTGAACGCGGCGGTTAAATACATAATTATAATTATTAATAATTTCAATACCTACGATTTCTGAAAAACAAAAAGAAACCGTTTAAACGTTACAGGATGGTATAAGTGAATTGAGAAAAAAACAGGTTTTTGGTTTTGTTATAATAAATTTAAAAAGTATAATATAAGTACATTTCGACTACCTATAGTCAATTAATCGTAATGATTTATGATTTAGACTATAGGTCGAAATCGTAAATCATTTATGGTAAATATTAAGTTGGTATGGCTTTGATAAACCTCGTGTAAAATTGTCAATGTTGGGTTTTAACGATTCTATCCGCAACTGTGGAAATGGTCTAGATATAAAGCAATTATAAATATTTGGTAAAAATTACAGGTCTCGGCGTTAATTTTTACTTGATTACACAAGATTTCTAACTGAAAAGCCGTTCGCAGACTGAACAAAATTACATATTATACCGTAAAGATAGTAAAAACAGTACATTACTCGCTTTGGTCAGAATCTTAAATAACCTTAATATAAATCAATAATTATTATTTTCGACATGACTATATTATGTGTTTGAGTATTGTGCAAAACGCCAATATCGAAAAATATTGTACTGTCGAAGGACACGAAGATAATACCTACATGTAGGTATATACGATTGGACAGAGTATATATTGCTAACATTTCTCGACAGTTTTAATTCGTTAAGAAATATACTTTTTTTTGCGATTAAGACGCGAAAGGAAAAACAAAGTAAGATAGGTTCTATGTATATATATATATATATATATGACTACTATAATAGCGGCCGTATACGGATTTACGGTACTATATTGTGTTACTATATTTTTTGACTTCATGATTTTGTAAAATGTAAATTTACGACAACGACGAATGATGTCTAAATACGAGAACGATGATCGTCATCGTTAAAATAAATAACATAACATTATAATGGTATAGGTGTACAATAGTCATTTTCGCTTGTTCTACTTAAAAATAATATCGTCTATATACGTATATGAACGACAAAGTGAAATATGAGTATTGAAAACGTTACAAACGTATTGTTGTGCATAATAAATATTTTGCTTATAAATCATATACGGGCGTAAAAACGGATTGAATATTGTGTTTTGTTGATTTTAAATAGCTACGGGGAATCTGCACATTATACACCTACTTACAGTGCCTAAAATTTAAGTAATTTGCCCCCACTCTTGTCAACCAAAAAAAATCTATAAGTCAAGAAACCGTGCAGAAACTCTCACGTACTGTCTCCGTTTTACAAACGTACGTAGCAAATTCGCGTTCAGCAGGGACAACTTTCTGCTATTAGTTTTGATATTAAAGTGAATTGATCTAGTATCGAACATACAGACGTATTATCTGTGCAACGTTTGCGCTATTATTTCGATGTTTTAATTTTCAAGCGAGATAATATTGGATTATTGGTACAAGTACTTTGGTCGATAGAAGACGAGTGGCTAATTTTAATTTTCTCAGACGATTAATGGATGGCTACCATTAAATCTCCTATATTATTCGCTACCATTTAAAAGTCCTATTTATTTATACCCGTCACAAATATAAATTATTTATACATATATTCAACACCGATTGTTCAGACAACCAGCCAATATACGGTGATGCGTGTATAGCATATAGGGACATATATGCACATGATTTCAGGCCCTGTATAAGTATACTTATAACAATAATACTACAATATACTACAGGAATAAAAACGAAAGCGTGCACAAATTATGCACGGACAAGAAATACAAACAGTTTAAGTACGTAATAATATACTGTATTCTCTGTAACAGCGTACTTTAAAGATCGTGTGTTATTGTTCGCATCTTTCACGAACAATTAATTCTCACAATATATATAAGTATTATTTGCGAACCAAAATACAAATAAATATCGCGGGTGTATAATAATATACAGTTGACGGAAATTTGTAAGTATGAGAAATCTGCACCGACGGCGGCGTGTACTAATTCAACAATTCGACGAAAGTCGACGTACCCGTGCGTATTTCCATACTTACGAGATCCACGACTGAAGAGGGCTGTACAGGATCTGCCTACGTGAACTCTAAAAATCAAATTGTATGAAATATATTATATAGGACATTGCAAAAACGATTCTGGCCGGAATAGTTTTAGTCGAGGTAACTGACATCGGTAATCGACAAAAATAAAACCGACGTATCGACGAGATATTTTATTGTCAGAATTTTGTTTTAAAAATTGTACAGTAATCCATGTCGTAAATCTGTACAGACACTTTATTCAAATAACAAGTAAAGTCTAATCAAAAGTCCGCACATGGCAATGCGAAACATCTTATCGAATTAATATGATAATAATATAGTTCAAATTAACATTTAGCATAATACACCGTTTTCCGTAAATTCGTTCCGTAAGTTTAAATCGAGAATAATACACGTACGACGCGGTCTAAGTAGAAATACTACTGCCTACGATAGTTGTATGCCTTTCATAAAATTCGTAAATATTTACATAATAATATGCTACAACGTTACCTGCAATAATGCCGGTGTAAAAATTTGCTTTTCGAATCCATTTAAACGGTAAACGTATACATTATTATTATGATATTTGTACAATATTTACGACATACAAACTTTTATGGAGACTAAACAAAAATAAAAAACCAATACTTATTCAATACGTCGGAGCCCATCAAAAGACATACAGGTAATATAGGTGTATGGCTACGCTAGTTGTTTTAACGTTCGAGTAAACGTACGTAATAGAGACGTATTTCGGTCGATATGTTAACAGTAAAACGGGCTACGTTTTCTCAACAACAGGCTATGTATGATAATGCACTTTAAAAACCGATAAAAAAAATGTATCCCAAAAACTGTATACTGTCTCATCATACACTATAAACATTGTAAAAACCGATTGAACTACGCGTGAATTTTCACCGGGTATACACATATTATTATAATCGTACAATTCGAATTCGATATTTTACTATGATATGGATACTGATAAAATCTTTGGTAAGAACGACGATATATCTGAAAATAAACGATTTCCTAATATCGTCCCCGTCGTGCGATCCGTCGCTAAACGATTTAAATATTTAAATTCCCTTTTTTTATTCAGTTCTGATCTTAATCAAGAATTGCGTGTTAAGTGATTTATAAATTATTTTTATCGCTTGGACAATTATTTTTCTTACGTAAATTGAGATGAAACGAGGCGTATTTTTTTCTCGGTCACTTTTTTCCCGGCGAGGACGATACATAGAAATAATTATACAACACTTTACACCGATACACACGCACGTTTTGTTTAAACTAAAGTATTCAATCACGATTAATCAATCCGCATCTTTAATAAGTTATATAGCGAGAAAAAATCGGAGCATTTTTACTAACCGAAAAAATTATTGTCTGCGACGAAGAAGAAAACACATTTTTCTGATAAATACTACTATAGCATTTTTGTTGGTTATTTATAATTCGAACAAAGAAAAACTAACGCGATAAATGTTATTTTGCTACGACATTATGCAATTTTTTCTTTTGTACTCGACTCGCCCACGTTCGTAACTTTTACATAAAAATAAATGGTATTGTTACAAACGAAAAATAATTAGAACTCAATTAACTCAAGCGTTTATGAGCGCCCATTTAGAAATGTAAAAAACATACTATATGATTATTAATCGAGAGCTATGCAATTGTGCATTATGTTATATTAAATGGGTTGTTTTTTTTTTTTTTTTAATAATATTAATGATTTCAATTGCATAGTCATAATCGTAATTATAATAATATGTTTGTCAATTAACGCGATTCTAATAGTATATGGAGGGTGGTTTTTTTTTTTCGGTATCTATTAGAATCCGTTCGTTGGTCGTCGTCTCGTACAGTATTCGGGAAAAACAAAATAATAATTTATGTAGATAAAATGATAACATATTATATTCTCAAACTTTTTGATATCATCATATTTGAGTCAAACACCGCATCGGTAGGATTATTCACGAGCCGCGCCGGTATACCGCTCAATACCTAATACCTATTACATTGTTTATTTTAAAATTAATGGTTTTACCGATACTTTTATTTTTATTTCGAGTTCAGAAGTCAGAACGTTTCCGTATTTTTGACTGCAGTTCGTAACCTCCACAATGTCGTACGCAATAATAAAGGGACGGATTTTGTAATATTTGCGTTACGGATTTTTTGTAGCACTTTTCGCGGACCTTCAAGTGTGGGCGGCGTTCGAATATAGTTATTACTCCGTAATATTTTATACTCTCCTCGTATCCGTACTAAAAAGCGAAATATCTCGTCAACGGGTCGACGGAAATTGAAAATGTCAAACACTGAAAATTATTTAAAATTTCGTATGTTTGTGGCATTTATCATATTATTACGTTTTTTTTTTTCGAAAATTAAACTGGGTGTTTCTCCATCGGGAATAAAGGTGCGAACAAATTACGTCAACGTGACATTTTAGAATAAACGATTCCAAAATGTTTTTACGTAAGTATATATATTTTTTTTTTTTTTTTTGCAGAAAATTACTTATTTCGCGGACGATGCAATCCAGAATATTATGACTGTAAGGCGAATTTCGGAAAACCGGTTGTACCTATATACGAATACAAATAATGCACTCCACTGGTAGGTATCTGATATCTGCGGGATTCGGAAAACGAAAAAAATTACGAACGTTTGGAATTTCGTTAAGTATATTGGTAACCTCGTCGTCATATATTGTTATGTAAATCCCGCATTTCGGTTGCGCAACGTGAAAAGATTATTATTGTACAGACGGCGGTGGCGACGGAAAAGGAAATGTGAATAATTTCGATAGGTTTACAATAATGTTGTATTATATTATTATAATAACGCATTAAAATAAAATATATTACGCCTAAATGTAATATTATGTTTTTTTATTTTTTTTATTTAAGATAGACGATGTCATGCACACACGTGTTGTGCAACTGCAGCAGCATTCCGTCTGTCTGGCGCCTATGTCTCGAGACCATCATCATTATCATCACCATAATCATAATCATAAGCGTGTGTATATATATAATACAATATTTTTATAGCACGTAAAAAAAAATATATTGTACACCGTGAAATATATTACTATAATATTATCGTAATAAATTCGTTTTCTAATATACCTAATGTTGTACATATTATCATACCACTCGGGTGTAACGAATGGGAGATACCTGTTAAAAATTGGAATATTTGAACGCGGCGATATCATGTCTATAGATCTTTTAGATTCTAAACGATAACATATTTTGTTATAGGAACCAAATGGCTATTTACAATATGACGCGAGTTTTGTTTTTACTCGAGTTTACGTTTATAATTGTTTCAGCCGTGCAGAAATGCCAGAAATAATTAAATGAACTTGAAAATGAGGTTCGTCAAGAGTCTCATTCGGTTGTTGAAAAAGAAAAAAAATCGAGCGTAATGGAGAAATTATTATTTTTTTTTTGATAAGAGATAATTCAAAACTGTACGTTTAATCGAACTGCGCTCTGAATAGTTTTTCGTCAAGCGATCGACACTATCGTGTCGCGCACAGATATAAATTAAATTAATTTGTGCATCTTGCCTTCCCGACGTTCCACCTACAAAACTCGAACACCCGTCAATATTATCAACGTTTTTATTATTGTTATTTTTCAGTTGCAACATCTTAGATTTTTAACCTACGGCAAAGAATGACGATTGTCTAAGCATTTATTTTTTTTTCATTTGGTCCGTGAAATTTGTATTTCGGAAATTTTGGCCTAATCATCGATATTGTATATACTAATATGGATTCTGGTAGCAAAATCTGTTTAGCCGGTGCATTGGAAAGGTCAATTATTTGAATTTTTCTTGTAGCCTTTCTAATAATCGAGATGGGGGAAAGATCGCGGAAAAAACGGGAGCATATTATACGCAATACTGTTAGTTCGGTATTTGTTTCATTTTGCATATAATTCACTAAAAAGTAATCGGAGAGACTTGATATTTTCATTGAATACAATTTATTTATAAAATACTATTACTTTATTTACACGATTTTATGAAAATTCCGGGGTTTTTCCAGCTATTTATTGTTGAGTAATTTTGTTTTCTGGTTTTATGCGGATACAATTTATCTTTATTTTTCCTTACGTTCCATGTGTAAATTTATTGTGAAAACACGAACAATTGAATTTTAATTAGACAATAGTCGTTACAAATTGATCAATACAATATGTTCATTTCAATTCTATCAAAATCGATTTTTACCCGAATTGTGTTTGGAATGGTTCTTTGTTGTTTTCCCTGCACGACTGCGATCGCAATCATCCAACTCGTATTTTTTTTCCCGTTAATAGGGTTTTTTTTTTATCGTCGATTTATTCCTTTTCATTTCGACCTTCGCGCGGGACCTTATCGTGACCTTAGACTGCTGCGCTGCAAGAATTTAATTAATCGACCGTGCCATATTTGATTCTGTGCCGCGTGTGCGACGAAACCGATGACGAAGCACCCTGCAGAAGCGAGGAGACGATCGTGATACACATCTGTCTCGAGTGAAGAGATTTCACGGTATGCAGGTATACCACGTTCCGAAAAAAATAATAATATAAAAGTATATACAAAAAATTACAATCCGTAAAAATGCGAGGGAGCAAAATCGACCGCGAAAAATGTACCGATAAATTTGAATTTTATGGTCCGGACCGCGGACCAAATCGCATCTATATATCCGATATTTGCATTTTTCGATCATCTCCTTAACGAGTCATAGCTGCAACAGTAATAAACTAATAAATAATCGAGTATTGGGTGTTTTGTTTTTTTTTGTATCGAACAATTCATCTATTGATTTCAAAACACGAGTACAAAAGCGTATATATATATATATATATATATGTTTTTTGTTTCGTTTTTTGATCGCAGTTTTAAAACTCGAGTGCAACCGGATGTAACAATACGAATTATTTTGTATATTATATTTTTACTTTATACGAATGAGCTTTCTAAAATAACGTACTTTAATTTGTAATAAATCTACGTACACATAGCCTACTGAAATCCATATTAATATTGTTATTGTTATATCGCGACCATTAATAACGGCCGATCAACACGCAACGAGACGTACCAAACGTCGTGCGATACGATATTATTGTACACGGGGTTCCAATAATAACAATAATAATAATTGTATTGTCAAAAATACCCGGGCTCGTCGATTTATTCGTCCGCGATTCGTGATTCGTCGAGTTTATAACGTACTAACGTTTTTTTTTTTTTTGATTTTATAATACGTGGGTATATATGTATACGAAAAAACAAAAATAAAATCGAAAACGTACGTACAGAATAAATTATTGTCGTCCCTATATACGGACCGCGTTGTAAATGATGATAACGGATCGTTAACATTGATCTTCTTCGCGCGTATATACCTATTACCCGGTTTCGGGTTATGCAACAAGTCGAATGTGGGTAGCTCCCCTCCCCCGAATGTCTACGGTCCGTCCTATTTTTTTTTTCATTATAACCGTCGTATAATACAATATTGTTATATATCGTTGTGTCGTCGTCTGTCGATATTATACCCGGTGCGTTTTTGAAGGTTAGTAAATAAAACATTTGAGATAACATCGGATTTTCTGGTTTCTCCTCCCCCACCCCCTTAACAACTGTTTATAGAAAAAAAAATATTATACAAAACCTTAAACGCATATATTATTATTAGTATATTTATGTTTACTTCGGTTTTTATACACGACAATAATAATAAAAAAAAAAAAACCGTATACATATAACGATAACGTTCATTAAAATTCCATTATATTTAATGTGACGTGATGTATAATAAAAAAAAAAAAAAACCCAAAACAACGAATAATATTATGTACAAACGGTGGACATGTCAGCCGTACATAATTTTTTTTTTTTTTTTTTTTACAATATATTTATCGATTTATAATTTTTTTTATAATAATACCTACGCGCCTATTGCGGTATTATATACGGATTTACGAATAAATTGTAATCCCGTAATATATTATATTACATATAGTAACTCAAAACGAATATATTTGTAATCTTTATCGAATTTTTCAAATCCCTCGGACCGTGTATACCTGTACACGACATTTTTTTTTTTTTTCGGAATAATTTAATAGTATCCCACGCATACAAATTCCGGATATGCTCAATAATTTAACCGTATATAATAACATAATGCGATATCCTATATTATTATGTACCTATGTAACGACCGAACATCGTTATTGTTAGACTGAGATTTGCATATAGAAATACTCGAATTCGGGAATCCGACAAGATCCGATGATGTTATCTATTATTATTCTAATATATAGTATGTCCTATATGGACAAATTTAAAGCGACGGGATAATGTATTCATTGTACGATGTAGAAAATGCAAGTTATAATAAATATTATTGCATAATATACCTATATAATAGCGTATAATTTATATAGCCGTGCAGTAATAAATTTATAATTTTTACGGTAATTATTTCTACGAGATGACAAAAAAAGAAAAATCTACGACGATTCAGTTCGAGAAAAAAAAAGGGCGGTAGACGGACGAACCGGCCGAATAATTAGTATCGCAACGAAATATCGAATTCGATTTTTAGCCAAGAAGCGCGTAAAAATCTTGACAGTTATAATTTGTACATCAATATTAATAGGTTTGTTATCTTTGCACCCGTCTTCACTTCGGGTTTTCCTTTAAACGTATCGTAGGGACGATTAGTGTGACGTCATTCTATGTGATAACAATCCTTATCGTCGAGTATGATTGGACCCGAATCAAAACAAATAAACATATACACGTAAAGTAAATTTCAAGTTTTTATATTCTACATTTTAAGCGCATAGGCAGATATTATTCATTTCATTGCTAAAAACATTCATTTGAGCAACTGTTATTATTATTTTATAGCTTCTTATATCTGAATAAAATATAAACGTTTGTGTGTTTTTATAGTGGGACTATTAAATTGTGCAGAACCAAACGATCCAAATTGTTACTGATAACACACTGATTAGAAGAACATGACGTAAGCGCTAATCGTTTCGATTGTTTATTATTTCCGCAAGATAAATGCTGATAATATTGTTGTGTTTATAATAACGGGAATGAAAAGCCATTTAATCCCGTATTTTTCGTACCTACACTACTATTACTATGTGTAAGTACAGACGCGGACTGGTAAAAAAAAAAAAAAAAGACCACGAGATAATAATTCCATAATAATTTTAGGGCAAATATCAGCAATATTATCTGGGAAAATTTCAATAAGAAAACCAATTTTTAATAAAGTGCCGATACTGAGAATGGGTGTGCCATTGATTTAGGTGGGAAGTTGGGAAGATACTAGGATACATTAAGTTGAAAAACCATTGATAACGAAAGACGATTCGGAACGAAGTTCGATTATTCGTGTTTTGAAAATTGAAAATAGTATACATTATTATTTATTAACTGCAAAACTGAATTGCAAACCAAAAAAAAAAAACCTAGAAAATTTCAAATAAAACCGAGTCTGAAAAGTGCTAATACACGTATTATGTATATGGTGTATAATACACGTATCAATGATAAAATAATGCCATTTTGTAAACAAACTGTTTATAATCTATTCCGCAATGCCTTCTGTTATAATATTACCCAGACGATTATAACGTTCCTAATAGAAACCCGTTATTAATATGTACCTCGAGTGTACAGTCTGATCGATCGAGGCGAATTCTTCAATACCGATCGGGAGCGAATCCCGGGAAATTTTAGGCCGCGGGACGGTGTAGCCACCCCAACAACACCCCAACGCCCGTAGCCGGGTGGGCACGCGGGCGGCCGCGGCGTATCGGTACAGTGTTTTATAGCGTTGTTTTTTTTTTTTTTTTTATTACAAAAACAAAACGCTGTAACAACAATTATAATAATAATAATAATAATACTGTGATACGATGGCCGGACGCGAGACGCGGTAATTAATCGCTTTTCGGTGCCTGTATCTACGGACGCCCGACCGGATCTGACGGAGCGGGGGATGAGCCGGGTCCAGTTCGGCATTCGCCCCGCAGCGCGAGTACGTCGTCGTCGTCGTCGGCGGCGGCGCGGCGACGCGGAGAGAGGTTATTGTACCCGGGTCCGGCGCGAGCGGCGGCAGCGGCAGCGGCGACGGTTCCCGAGATCAAGCGGCTTACCCGGCGTCGCACGCGCCGCTCGTATACAGGGCGAATGGAGTCTGTTTCGACGCTCGTTATATCGGAAGGCGTTGACTTTGTCCCGGGAATTTTTTTTTTCCTTTCTCGGAAAATTTACAAAAAAAATCCCATTTTTAGAGAGTTTTATCGGTATACTTTTCTTCGATGTCGCGGATCGATTGCGCGCCGAATACAAATACCGTCTGTATTTTGCCCGCCTGATAGTTATTAGGTTTTATTGATTTTTTTTTTTTACAAATTAAATATCAAGAACACGGAACACAATATTATAACGGAATTCCAGACTACCTTCGTAACATTAGTAATATTAACTGTTTACTGTTTACTATTTAACTGTTTGAGAAATGTTTTTATTGTGCGAACTCGGCTTAATACACATCGGACATTCGGATATACACATTAAATCTAGATACTGAAAATTAGAAACGGTTATAACCGTTGGTAAGGTAGTTAGGAACAAGATTGTTTTTTTAATGGTTTCATCTTCTATCAGTTCCTGAGCTACGTCAATTGATAATAAAAAATTATTTTAGTGCAAAGTATCCTCGAATTATAACACTAGTATAATATCCCATCTATATCAGTGAATTTTTTTTTTCTACGAAGCAGTATATCGGTAAAATTACAAACACCTCCTTTAAATATCCAAAATACAGAAAAATCGGGATCTGTAACTGGCGTTGCTAGACAGAATGATCAACATAACGTACGACACTCATTATCTCGGATAATATTATAAGCCTATATTAAACCTGTTTTAAAAATTCCATTGATAAACGGAGTATTAGTTATTGAAATCAGTATTGATGATTTTAATACTTATGGAATCATTAATATAGTTTGCCATTTGAAAATCAAAAGTAGGTAGTGGTTTCACCCTCTAAAATAAGGGTGACAAAAAAAGAGTAATGTAACATTTTCGAGTATTGCTATAACATTTTTTAAATGTTCTGAAAAGTAAATTCCGGAAAATTTAATACTTTCCGCGATGTTTTTTGTGTTATGTTGATCACCCTGTAGACGTTCCTGTATGTGTCGCATTCTCCATAAACATATAATTATATAATAGAACTTACAATTTCATAACTGCCTCGTAAAAAAAATGATAAACTGCAGTTTGAATGAAGCAGATACGATTTTAATTTTCCTAAAAAGTATACATTGCGTTTTTGGAACGGTCATGTCAATATGTATGGACACGTATAATATGTGTATATTACCTACGAGGGTGTGGTCGACTCGTGGTTACCGGGGAATAAGGGGTCAAGGGTATCGTATCTTCCTCTTGGCGGCTTTTTATTTTTAATTTTTTCTTTTTTTTTTTTTTGCGTAAAGATCTATTGATTTTTCGTTAATAGCACTGAACTCTCGCACCGCGGCTACGGATCCGTGTGCGACCGGACGAAAACCCGTATGTCTTTCGTTCCTCTTGTTCCGAACGAGCCGTAAAGCACGCGACTGAGTGGGCGGCGAAACTTTCCCGATCCCCTGACGTCTAGGACGACGTCGAAAGATAGAGCGCGTGCGCGTTGTAATCGCCGACGCCATCGCGTGCGCTTGACTCTTTCCCGGTGACAAAGCGCGCGCGCGCCATATTACAAAAAAATACATTGTACACGTATGGTAAAACGCCTGACTACGATAGTCATTAATATATTGTCAGCAGCTATAATAATATCATAATACACATATACATACATACGTACGTGGGTAAAATACATAATACATAATATATTAAATTTAAGTGCATTGTGCATTGGTAATATTGTTAGGTGCGGGGGAGACACATATGTGACGCCCGTCGCCGGTTCATTTATCAACAAATACGCGTGAAGAAAATATGATATTTGAATAAACCCATTGGGGGGAAGGGAGAACAGAGGGACCAGATGCGCGTTTTCGTATCGCATTTGGAGTTAATAATATCGTGAAAGGCGTTTTTATACGCGCATATATATAAAAAAAAAAACCTACACGCTCGGTCCGAATGTGTCTGCGCAGAGCTAATTAATTGTCGGTTCCGAAAATAATAAAAATAATTATTATAACAACGCTTTTATATTATTATACTCTTTTCGTTATTTGAAATCGCGCGTTTCGTTCCGGATGAATAGTGCGATGACGTTTTCGAATCTCCCGCGGTATTTACAATAATATATAGGTATATGACGTACAGCGTACACTGCCGGCAAAATAAAAATTAAAGAAAGTGTCGTTTTTTTTTTTTTCGTCACTAAGAATATAACACCGCCATCTATATAATAGAATAATACCCGAGTAACATAATACGTGCAGCTTTATTATAGTGATAGACGACGACAGCAGCCTATATTAGGGTGCCTTCCAAAATTGTGTGGCGATGACGTTCAATCAAAAAACTAAAACGGTTCGAAAATATTTTATCGTCCAGTCTTGTATCGAAATTCAGCGCTATTCCAACTAGTTAACTCCCATCGGATCGGACGTTTATGTTTTGCCGATTTTCCCGAACGATACGCATCTCGATTGCCTAGTTGCATTTCTTATTGTCAACCACAAGGACAAGGCGTCTATCGTAATAAGTTTGGTAAGGTAGAAGTATTATGTTATACGATCGCGTTAAATTATTCAACGCGATTTGAATGTTTCGGTATCCTACATTCTACGACATGCCGACACATCCCACGTTGTAAGATGATGGTTTTAGGAATACGGTAACGTTATAGACGAAAAATCGGCATGTGCAATACAAATAACGAATTATTAGAGTATTATATTAGAGACATACGTGGTAGGTACATATTTGTGTAAGGCACTAAGACGAGTAAGACGTAATACGAATGAAATGCATAAGAAAAAATATGATGATAAATTCTTCCGTTGTTGGATATATATAATACTATTTTTTATATATGTATATAAAACAAACAAATTAAAAAAAAAAAAATACAAATAATAAAATAATAACGAATTAAATTCTACGAAACAAGTTTAAGTAACTGTAAATTCGTTAAAAAAAAATAATAATCATAATAAATACAGGTTAGTATGCGAACGTATAAGGGGAAATGTGTTTTAATATTTTTTAATGGATGTGGGAAGTTATACCGTCATCATTCGCGCGGATAGCGAAAAAACGGCAATTTCTTTTGGTCAAGGATCATGAGTTCTGAATTTCTTACTATATTATTATAACACCACTAGGCACCGCATTTATACATCTGAAATAATAGGTTGATATAATGGCATCGCTGGAGAAAAGTAAAATTTAAAAAAACAAAAAGAAATTTGAACGTCATTTTTAGTTGACTTCAGTAATATCCTATTAAAACATTCAATAAATAAATAATAATAATAATAATTTATTATAATCTTTTTTTAAGAGAACTATGGTAATTTTTTTTTTTTTTAAAGGCCATCTTGCGACCTTATTATAGGAACAATACCAAAATTACTTCCCGTTTTTATAGATACTTCTAGAAATATGCACAACCGAATGATTAGACAATGTTATACGATTGAATCGTTCGATAGTCGATCGCATTCGAACCACTCGGTTATGGACATAATCGATCGAATTCGAATTGTTTATTCAAACAAGTTATTTGATAGTATTCAGAACCATTCAGAAGTTAGTTTCGATCAGATAGTCGATAATCAATTACATAATAATTTATACCTCTGTGTAACGCGTGTAAAAAATAAAATTATATTTATACCGTAATGTTAATGAAATATTATAAATATTACCTACACGCGTAGACAATGCACGTTGTATAAACGCAATTTCTTTTAGACATATTGAAAAAACAGCGCTTTTTTTATCTAAAAATTATGCGAGACAAGAAACCAGGACTTTATAATAGTGTTGAGAATGTTTGGGTATACATAATATTGCCGCAGTACCCGACGGCTATCGAAAAAATACGTTAACCAGTTTATTTTTAGCCTGATAATACGATCGAATAATTTATTTTTCCAAAATAATACGTTTGATTCGAGATGCGGAATAATCGAGAAACGATTTTTATCCGACAATAAGCTTCAACAATGTTGTTCGAAAACGGCGCAAATGTCTACTGATCCCAAGTCGCGTAAATCCCGGTGGTGCGGTATATTATACAGGTGTACTCTCGTAATTTTAACTGCAGTGAAATCGTGTGTACGAAGTTTATAATGGTAATACGTATTATTACAGTGCCGGATACCCACGGCAGAATACTTATACCGTCTAAATTTAAACAAATCGTTTAAATTGTAAAACCGTCGTGAAGATTATACAGCATACCGCAAACGATATTAATATAAAATAAAAATCTACGACTGCGATATTATGCAAATTATTATTATTTTTTTTTTAATAATAATATAGAATATATTCCGTTACATAATATTCGTAATATTTTAACGATCTCCTGGTCTGGTTCGCCCGAACGGTCCGAAATGTTACATCGAGATTGCGACAAACGTTTGCACGAAATTTCCATAACGATGAAATATAAGTAAACAAAACAGTTTATACATATATATCAAAAAAAAAAAAAAATTAAAATATGTAAAACAATTATTACAAAAACTCACGTTCGCCTATAATAAAAGTCCGCGTGCACTGTAAAATAAATTACAATTTCTATACTCATCGTAACAGATTTAAGATAGGCGTGTATACGATATACGAAAGAATATTATGTAAAACAATTATTATTATAACGAATTTAATGTAAGTTATTAAGAGGATAATATGTATAGAAAGTGGTTTTGAGGTTTTGACGCGGAAAAAACGATAACAATTTTTAAATCGCGCGATAAAACTCGGCTGCACACGACTATACCAAAAATAAAAAATAAATAACGCATATAGAGTCTCGAGTTTTTTGAGATACGTGCGCTAAGTGAGTTCCGTAATATTTAGCAATATTATTGTGATACACTTATCTATTAGTACATTTTTTGAATAAATCTAATCGGGGTTTCGTTAAAGAAAATAAAACATTTGCCTACGCATAACTTACTTGGGAGTTGGGATGACTGCAAATAACAATTTATTCCACAGTCCTACAGGTATGTATAGTCACATACTATAAACGTTTTTTTTCAATGTTTATCATGAACAATTTAATCAATAGTGTGGTGTAAAATTTCGGAAATATTTTAAATGTACTTATACTATTATTATGTTGTTTAAAATAATAAATAAACACAATCAACGTATTAAGTAAAAACATAAACGATAAACTTTTTACATATTATTGAAATCTTTATTTTTTATTCTTTATTTTTTAAATTATTTTTAGATTCTGAGCGAAGTAATTGGAGTGTTTATAAGTGTTTGTTTTTTATTTTCTATGTTGAGTCTGTAAAGAACTTCTCAGTCATAAATTTTATTCCAATCAACAACTTTATAGTAACTTTCTTGCAACATTTTAGATTTGGATAGAGTAATTGTATGATTATTTTTTTGTAGTTTTCTTGGTAAATCAAAAAAAAAAATAGCATTTTTTATAACTTTTGTTGGTTTCAAGGTTACTTTGGCAACAAATAGAAAATTGCGACAAATTATATTGTGCTCAAATTTTTCGTTACATATATAAATTAAATTACTCTATATATCCTCCCTTTTAATTATTCTTCTGAAACAGTGGCGCCCTCACTGGCAGGAAAAGCCTTTTTTCTTTATCGAAATGTCTCCATTTTCTCTATTCCAAAATACCTAACTAACTGAAAAGCAGCTGTTGTCGATAAATCGAACAAAATACTCTAAAACTATAATATTATGTAGATTGTTATTAATTTTCGTTTCTTGGAGAGTATGAAATAACAACCGTGTAATTTTTACTTAAAATTGGTACATTTTACTTTAATTTACCAAGTGCACGGACTCAATTATTATCTTATTTTTCTCGACCGCGGTACATTCAATTGGTATATTTTTTTCGTTTATACCGACTTCGCTCAATTAGTATTATATTATATTTTAGTGTACGCGTATTTAAATTAATATATGCGCTGTAAAAATCACGGTTTCCGATCAGAGTGCCTGCGTAGCTACCTATATACCTGCAACGATTGCAATATTTTTATTTTAACGCATCGACGAATCTCGTTGGTATATCCTTGCCATCATCGAAAACTATTCGATCGAGTTCAAAAATGGAAAAATAAATTCCGTCCGATGTTATTATTCTATATTCGAATATAATCTATATACTGATAATATAGTAATGAAATTTCGGTCGGAGAATATGGATCATGGTTGGTGAAATATCGAGTGGTCGATAATAATGATGACCAAATTAAAAAATTGTCAGACATAAAATACGGACAAATACACAAATAGACAGACGAGCAAATTTAATTTGAATTCCCAATTTTTTCCTCCGACCATTTTGAATTCGATCATTTTTTCTTCTGGCCGTAATTTCCTGCAACCATTTTGGTATATGGAACTTTTTCCCGGAATCATTACAACTTATAGACTCAAACCATCCATATGGACCGTAACTATATTATCAAAACGCTCACTCGATAACTTCTCCGACGCCGACGACAATGTAGTCAACACGTTCTACCCACAGAGCGTAATTTTATAGTAATATAATATTACTGCGTTCCAAATGAATACATTTAAAACAGACGAATCCTGGGTCCTTCGATTTGTACTGCGCCCCTCCGGTACTAATAAAATGGTATGGGTACGAATTTAGCGACAGGTTTCCGAAAAAAAAAAAAAACAAAACAAAACCGGTCGACACAGGTAGACCAAAACGATATTATATAATGTATTTATATATACGACGGATACGAAGGGAGGGAGGAGAAAGGGGTGGAGAGTAAAGGCAAGGAAGAGCGATGAAACAACGGAGAAATAAAAGAAAAAACTTATCAGATGCAGGTTCCGACGTTGCCAAAGTCTGGTGGCCATTTATCACTGACAAGCTACGGGTCACGACCGTCGCCGCGCGCCGTACTGGAACGGGGGGGTTGACGGAGAGTGGGTGACCAGGTTCAACAACACAGCGCACTGACGTTTAAGTGAAAAAGAAAAAATAATAGTTTTTTATGTAATATAAATACATGTGTATAGATTTTTTTTTCTACACGAGACCCTGTAGATTTCCGATACCATTGATTGAAAACGACCAATTATTAAGCGTAGACATGATACACCGTATAAGTATATTATATGTATTTAAAAAAAAAAAAAAAAAAAAAAAAATAGATGAAAAAAACATTTTTTTATAGAACATAAGTATACTATTAATTATTAATATAAAATACGTATTATGTATTCAACAAATATATTAATAAGTCTTTAGTTTTGTTGTGTTTTACGTGAATACGAAGATGAAATTTGTTTACTCTTTATTGTTTTGAATCGACAAAAAATCAAAAAAAAAAATTATTTCAATTGAAATTTGAATAACACACAAAATTATAATACAAGTATACATTAAGTGAGATGAATTTAACGAATAAGAGTCTTTACTAGAGGTGTTTTTTTTACAAACTATCAACAATTTTTAGCGTTTATAATTAAAACGTTTTAACAATTCATAACAAAAAAATGAAATCCTACGCAAGGTCTATTTTGTTGCTTATTAATATGATTTCAGAGTAAACTCGCCTACCCCGTAAAGAAACTCAATTTCAATAATTAATTAATCAGTTTTCTGTTGGAAAAAAAAACTTTCTACGGTGCACGTAATTAAATAATAAAAACACGTATCATATTCAATCTCTAATATTGTAATAATTGGAAATGTATTTTTAAAATCCAAGTCCAATGCGTAAATAGTCTTCACTACTCTGTTAAGCGATTTCGTGAGTCAACTACGATTTATTGTTTTTCAACCTCGATTGCTCGTTTTTTTCTATTCAGTAGTTACTTTAAAAGTTTCGAATTTTGTATCGTTTTTAACTCGTTATATTATATGAGTTATTACAAATAGTCGTACTACAATTCTCTTTCTTATGATCATGCTCTAAAATTATGTTTTGAAGCTCTGCATTGGCATCTCAGGGTATTTGCAACCATTTTTCAACGTTTTGCTCCAATTGCATTCACGAATGTACGTTTTCTTTGACTATTCCTATTGTACTTAGCTCTTCATTTATTTTCCTATAGAGCCAACCTAATCGTTTTCACACGTCTTCGTACTGCGCCACGCATCTCAAAAGCGTTGATTATTTTCTTTTCTGTATCATTTATCACCTATGTTTTACTTCTATATATTGCGAGATTTTGGATTACATACGTTATACAATAATACGCCCTTTTCAATGTTGAGATGTGTTTATTTTATTTGTTTTCACTAAAAGCCGTTTTTACTCATCCTATACGCGTCGTTCAAATCCTCGATAATTTTGCAATTACGAAATAACACGGGTAAACCATAGTCATTATATCACACATCGCTACCGTTGACCAGTGACCAGTGTATAATTACTGCAGGTTACAGTGCCGTGTCCTAGACCGGATCCGTGGGGGCAGCAATAGTCGTCGATCATTATAATCGGTCATTATCATACCGTCTTCGTCGTCGTCACAGACAGTATTGTCGTGGTAGTCCAAGCCGTCGTCGCCGAGGCGAGTTGAACGGCCCTGGAAGAAGACGGCTGGAACGCGCGAGAGTGATATAATAATATATAGTGTACATACACGCAGGCTGTATACTTTATTGGCAAAAAAAAAAAACCCAACATTGTTGTCGTATATATCATCCGGTCGTGTAATGACCGTTTCACTGCTGCATCGACGACAGACGTACCGGCCCGTTGAGATCGGTGGTTGCCCTTTAGTTCGTATCTCGTATAATAATAATAATAATAATAAAAAAAAATGTTTTCCCCGTACCGCGTGCGAAAACTGTGACTCGGTCGTGAACGAAAAACGCAACGATACGAACGATCTCTCGGAGGTGGTTAAAAAAAAGAAGAAAAACCGTCACCGCTCGATCGCAAAACGAATGTACACCGACTGCGCTACCAAGGGACCAACAGTAACATATTCAGCAATATGCGTTAAAATAAAAAAGAAATTAAAACCCAGTGTTGTGAAAATGTTGCAGACGTATAGTGGCGCACTGAACAGTTCTAACGCACGTCGATAATAATTTTTGTCGAACCAAAACCGGGACTCAAATTTCCACGTATATATAAATAATGTGTATTATCGATAATGCGGGATAATATAATAAGACAAAATGTAATCGTCTTGCAACGGCAACACTTATAATTCCGACTGGTTGAACCCCACGTGACGTGCCAAATTAAATGGCCGTACGGTTGTAACTCCTATCTCCCATCCATCAAACACTCTCTCTACCAGGACGGCATGTCTACGATGGTTTACGATTTTAGCTATAGGTATACCTATACTATTTACGATTTGAATATTTTTTCAAAGTCTATGTCATCTCATTTCTTTTACCGACCTCTATCCCAATCTCAATCTCTATCTAAAAAACTCGATTCTATTGACGGAGTATAGCTGCTCACGGTTTTTATTTTTTCAAAAACCCTTCAGGGGTCGAATCTAGGTTAAAACCTAGCTTACGTCCTATTCCGAGCCACAGAGACTATATTATTATGTGCAGTCCACCAAGTTTAGTCCGTTGAGCCTTTTGGCGTAATTGATTGACAAACGCAAGTGCTCTCGCATAACAATATTAGTATAGGATTAGACTAGGCACGGTATAATTCATTATTCATTTCAATATTTGCAAATAATTATTAGATCCGAAGGACAGTTAAGTAGCTGTGAGATTTCTGCGCAAATAATAATTATTGTCTCGAGTCTACAAGAGACACAGTGTTTACAGGGTTTCAATGTAAAATTGTTGGTAAATTAAAAACGTCATTATACTTAACGCGAAGCAACGGGCGGACTGAGAAGCCGGGTACTTCCCGATAGACCCCGCGGGGAGAATCGCCCCCTTGGAGAATTGATATTGGTGGTGATGGACACTACTGAATGGAAACTATCGAACCAGGTATGAGAGACCCAGATATGTTGGTCTGTGTGCAAGGCCCATAAGCGGAAAAAAAATGGTTGTTTTTATGGGCTCTGTTTAAGATTTCTCGGTATGCCAAAATTGGCCTATCTGCCCATTTGTGCAGCAAACGTTATCGCTTCTTCAACAACAATAAAACGCGTTGGTTTTTTACACACCCGGTTGCGGCGCGACGGATGCTGCAAAAACGACCAAACAACAATAATCACGACGTTATAGCGAGTCCGCGTTCGCCGGCGACGGCGAAAGAGACCGGACGGAGGAAGGCGTAATTATAAACTCAACGGCGCGTATTTTATCGCCGTCGGGAGGAAAGAAAAAAAATCGGAAAAAAAACCGAAACGTTTTTAACGAAATAACATCTTAAAATAATAATAATAAGTATTTGCGGTGGCGGTTCGACGGTGCGGCGCGATCGCGACCTCCCGCCCGTTGTACGCGTACAGCTATACTTATAATACATGTATACTTGCGTGTGTGCGTGCGTGCGTGCGTGTGTACGTACATACGTATAATATTATACTTTATGCGGTCCGGTCTGGCTGAATTTGCATTTCGCATTACCATAAGGAACCCGTTTTTGACGATAAGAGGTTCGGGGCCCCGCGGCACGACCGTAGTATTATTTTAACATGTGTTGCCATTGTTTTTCGTCCGTCGTCGTCGTCGTTTTTATTTTTATTTTTTTTTTTATTTTTATTTTTACTCTGTATACGGACCTTTATTGCGAGTTTGCGCAAACAAAGAAAGCAATTCTATATTATTATTTATTATTATACATTCAAATATTGAATGTATAATGATATAATAGGTTTACGTAAAACCGCGGTGTGACGGTCATGAAAAAGGATTCCCCGAGTTACTCGCAGGTGCATTTGATGAAATGGGCGGACTGGTACACATACGATCGCGATTTCGTACTATTCGACAGCATAATGCGATTATGTGCACAGCACATTATACGTTTAAACGAAGACTACAGGTACCCGTGTTTAGACCCACATAAAGATGACCATTATTGTCAGGCCTGAGTGTCCGAGTGTACCTAGGTAATACAACAAGAAGCTATAAACACGCGTTCGGATCAATTCTAGGTAACTGTTCACTTATCGAAATATTTGATAAATATTTCTTTGTATAGATGATTTCAAATACTGAACCTATATAAACTGTATCGTCCTATAAGCCTTCCAAACGTTTCACCTACCATTAGGTGCGAAGTACGCCAGGTTTTCTATTTTTATTTTTTAATACACATTTTCTTCTTGATTGGAACAAACGCTCTTGCCTACATAATTTGTGCTGTAAGGTGGAAATTAGTGTAATAATACCTGATAATATTTACGAAAATATTATTATTACCAATTGTGATCGGTGTGAAACTCTCGCGCGGAAGTCGAAAAGAACGTCTGAAAAATCTTAAATACATCATTCCGAGTCGCGTTGATTTCTAAAGACACCGTTCAAATGCTTATAACGATAATTTTCGTGAACGTCGCGTGGTGGATACTATATAGGTACCCACCTCGACGACCAATTCAAATGATACTATAGGAAGATAATGTTTTTTAACTGCAGCTGTAGAACAATACGAAATATACTTTCTACGAAATAATTCACGATCGTGATGGTATAAGTACCTATTTGTTATTATTCGTGTGAAGTTAACAATATTATTATTGGAGTGCGCGCATCATTCAGATGGAAAAAACACATTTTTTTTAATAAATTGAAATCAATTATTATCAATACGCGTCTCGATTCTCTAGCCACCTGTTTTTATCAACTAGATGTTTTTGGACAGTCCGGTTGAGTATTTACAGCCCGTATCCGAGTTGGCGCAAACCAAAATGTAAACCAGTTGGTTTTAAGAGTTTTAGGTATTTCAAAAACCATATATTATAACTTACTTGTTGATCCAAACTCGATACGGTTCCGAGGAATTTATAGCATTCTAAGTGACGACGGGTCGAGTGTTTACGTATCACTTCCGGTTACCTACTCGATTATCATAATATATATATATAGTATAGTCATTACAGTCGCAAGAAACTAATGAAAAAAAGCCAATACTGTCAACGGTCGTACCACTGTTTCAAAAGGAAACACGGAAGAGAAACGCTAACGAAAAACTATTCTGAGCAGATAGTATTATTAGTCGTATTTTTTCATTTATTGCTGAGGTAACGCAGAAATCAACAAAAAATCGCCGGTTTTTCCCGTTTATCAAGAAAACTACACAGGAAAATAAAAAATATAACTGTATCTTAGTCGCCTTATTATGTTAATAATTCAATCGAAAACGTACACACAACGCTGTATTATACGGAAACGATCCGTAGTTTCGCGTTAACCGCCGTTGATATTATAATACAATTATCGTAGAGGAAATCAAAAACAGGCGGAAATATCGTCTATAGGATACCGCACGGAAACGGAACGCGCGCGCGCGCAAAATACCACCGCTCGCACCTGCGAATACCGTTTTATTCGTAATATAATAAATAACATAAAATAATATTCCTCGATCCGCTCGATTCGCGACGTCACTTATTTCGAGTGTACCTTTGTAGTACCCGTACAGTATCCGAGTGCAGCGTATTTTTTTTTATTATTATTTTGTTTTTTTCCACTATTATTTATGCGCGCACGGTCGATCGCGGTGCGCCGCATCGCGCAGTTACGGACAAGTCGGGCGGTGATTGGGGGAGGGGAGGGCGGAAAGGGGGTGGTTCATGCGTGTATTATAATATTGTTATACACCCGTAGTGACAACGTGCTCATAAATAATTTATATCGCCGACGGAAATCAATTTATGCGGCGATAATGTAATAGTATTATACCGGTAGCAACAGAAACAGCAGCAGCAGCAGCAGCACGCCGTGTTTACTCGCAGAGAGCAGCGCGTCTCGCGGGACCGCGCGTGGATATCGCGACGTTCGTGCCGCCTCTGTTCCTCCGGCTCGGCGGCCCTTTTTCTCTCTTTCTCATTCTCTCTCTCTCTATATATATATATATAAATCTTTTCCCGACGCCCGAGTGACCGTTTCCCGCGCGTTTCCCGTACGGTGCGCCCGTGTCGTCGTCGCACGCTGCACAGTCGATGGCCGCGAGATAGCCCTGTCGCGTTCCTATCGCACGGCAGGCAAAAGTACGCGTATAAAAAAAAAAAAAAAAAAAAATATACTTGAACGTCGTCGTCGCCGCCGTGTTATACGACGGTGTTCCTATGCGCCACCGAGAGCCCGCAGAGTCTCTTGCTCCGGTACCGCGTCCCGACCGGCGCGCGGGTCAACGGACCCGCGCGTTGCGTCGCCGTCGCCGCGTACCTATACGCTTCGCGGACGATGGTGCCGCGGACCGCCGCACGCTGCGAGCGAAACCCGCGGACCCGGGTGTAAATAATAATTACTACGGGCGCTCACGCGAATCTGCAGTAATATTATTGTTATTATTATTATTATTATTATTAATACTATATATATACATATTATTTTACGGATAACGCGAAGTATCGGGCACACTAAACGGCCACACGAAACGATTTGTTTGAACGTGAAATGTGCGAACGTACGTTAATGATTTTCAAAAAGCTGTCCTAGCATAATGGGAACGGGTACAGCCACTGTTATAGGTAATTTAATGTACCTGTAAGCAACAATAAACTATTGAGAACGAAAAAACGATTTTGAGTGGAGTTCAGTTGATAGTGGTGCTTTGTCAACAATTGAACCGATTTTCCCATTTTCCTTACGTGTTTTCTCGCCGTTTTTTACATTTGCTGGGAAAACTCTCAAGAAAATCGAAAAATCACTTTCTTAAAGTACCACCCCAGGAAAATTTCCTTTCAGAAAAGGGTCTACATCATATACATTGAAGTAAGCTCTCAGGTAGAAAAAGAATTCATGTAAAAAAATAATAATAATAATAAATGAACACCGTTGTAAAACCAATACATTCTTCACTGCACTCGGAATCTAAAAAAATACTTAATGTACGACGACATGGCGAATTTACGATCAATTAGCAGTTTTAAAATCATTAACCTTTTATTAAACTTAAAGGTAAGGACATTGTCTGCGGACATCGGGTTTTCTTTTGTTATTTTAATTTTTAAGCAAGATACGAGCATTTTTAAATTAATAATATTTCACGCACTCATATCTCGATTAAAAATTATATATAATACAGATTTATCTTGCCATACGTTCGTAAGACGGAGACTACAAATGCATGTGTAGCGTCCTTTTAACAGTATCTTAACACTCTTTGATTTATTAAGCTTAAATTATTACATTATTCAAAAGGGACGAAGAATGGGAAAGGAAAACATTGACCAATATTCGAAATTGTCATAATATATTACGGATACAATATAAACGAAAATAAATGTAGGAGGAAAGATAGAAAGAGGAATAACGAAAAAGAGTAGTCGGATGCGGTTGAGAATCATACGAGGACGGCTGGTGTATACGAAGATGATGTGGGATATCGGGTCAAGTGGATCTTTAGGACGAAGGTAGCCGACCCAAAATAGTTGGAATGAAGGCGGAGAATAAGAGACGATTATGGGTGCAACAATATTGTTTTAACAACAACGCTATATGCAGAAAAAGTGCATGTTCGAATTCTAAATTGTTTCAGAGATATTAAGTGTTCATTTTTATCGGGTTTTCAGAGCAGTTTTAAAATTTTAACACATACTCTTTCTACGTTTAGATATTCGTGTAAACGCGATCTATGAAATCCGAAATGTACACAAAACGACACGCCAAACACGAAGTCGTTATAGTTTTCTCCGCGGTTCAGATACGTATATTATCTTATTCAAATCCCCCCTCCCAGAGTCCGCTGTCATTATTATTGTATTGTATATACACACACGTAAAAAAAAACCGAACGAAGATAACGCGCGCACTGAGAGACGACAACCGTGCTGCAGCAGCTCGCGCAACAGACACGATCTTTACCGTTAACCACGCGAGATATGCGCGCGAGACACGTCCGTATAAATAATATAATATTGTCCGGATACATTTATTATTATTATAACGTTTAAACGATCCCGTTCTGACGAAAAAGATACCTGTGCATTATACGCAGGCACCTAACAATATTGCAATAACATTTGTTCCGTATGATTTTATTCTTTACGCTAGCGTACGATAAACGACGAGACAATCGACGACAACGACGTTAAAGTCACCGCGCATCATAACCCTCTATAAGCTCGTCCTCGATGAAAAAATTACTTCTATTCCGCGCGTATGTACATATAGGTATAAAATATAAGAAAGTTAAGCATTACCGAGTTAAAAAGTTAATTTTAACTTTTAAACGAGCCTGCAATATTTGATTTTTAATTAAATAATTTATTTTGTTACATTTACTTAATAAATAACGAATTAAATGTTAATTATATCACGTTAAGTGAATAATTTAAATTTATTTTAAATTACACAATATTTACAATTTTATTACCGGTCAGTGTCGTATTTTTTAAAATTTTTATCATATATCATTGATTAAGAAAAAAATATATTATTAAATGTGAATAATAAAGGATATTAACTTTATCGGACGAACATGTAATTTTGGACTTTTTTTGTTTTTATTTCTTAATTAAATAAATTATAAAATTTGAGTTCAATTGTTTTATTTTTGAAAAAGGATTTTTTAGATTAAACGCAATTTTATAACGTGGTTTGTTTAGTATTCCTATACTATAGGTATTTCAATAAAATGTGATCAATGAATGATTAAAGATTAACATAATATAACCAGTAAATGCAATTTAAATAGGTAGGTTCTAGGTGTAGTGAAGTGTTTTCAAATTACGTGAACTAAGTGGCGGGAATGGGAAACGAGGTTGATCTTTTATTTTTTTTTTTCCAATAATTATTATTATTTGCAATGCTTTTATTTATAAATAAATAGACACTAAAATATATTTTATGAGAAACTTTGAAGGGAGGAAAGTCACGGAGGGGATATATCTCCCAGTCACACCCGCTTTTTTCGTATGACCAATCCTGTATAGTGATTAGAGTAATAACGTTTTGAACTCGATTTTGAACGATAAGAATCGTTATAGGGATATTTGTGAAAAATATTATTACCTATAAAATATAATAAAAATTAACTTAACAGCTAGAGACGTTATTATAATACGGTTATATTGTACAGAGAGTCTATTGTCCAAAAGCACGAATAACATGATAAATTATTATTATTTTAAAAGTCGTAAAAAAAATATTCACTGTTTGTATTTTCATTTTATAAATCGGGAACAAACTTATATTTATTTAAAAAACGTGAAGTGAAAACGATTTTTTTTCTTTTACTTCTTAACATAAATAAATATATAACATGAGACACCGCGCGTGGAAATACGCATAAGGAAATCTTTACCGTTAGCACGTGACCGTCTAGTTACAATAATAATATGCCTTCAAGGATCAAAGATTCACGGTTTACGATGCAGATATCGACAATGACTATGCGAAACAACAAATCTGTGCGCTTCAACGATAAGTAAATTCACCATAATTTACGATATTACATGATATTTATTATGTTATAATTACTTTATTATAGAAACAAACAGCGGTACATTCAATTAGTCATTGCGTATATTCGGTCTACGTTTGAATGTATTACATTATAATATTGTTTAACGATTAAACTTCCCAATTCTTTATATTTAAAAGCCGAATTTTCAAAAAAAAAAAAAATAACCCTACCAAATACCGAAATCGATAAAAAGAAATTCCAATGCACATGTTTCCCCGTGTCTCCGTTTTTATTTCTTCAATATAAAGCAGTGCAAGATGTACACCATTTATCCTAGCGAAGAAGGGAATAAGTCAATTTCGTATAGTTTTCAACAGATACAAATAAATATAATTTTAATAACTACTTTTACACAAACTTATAGGCTATTCATTTACCAGTTTTGAAAACAGATAAGTATACTTATTCAATTTAGATCAAAAAATAAAGGGAAATACTATGTATAGGACACAATTATATTAAAGAAAATGCCAAAAATTTACTTAAGCCCTTCTTCCTTAGGACCAAAGAATTTTATTACAATATGTAATACAAATTTCTATTATTATGTGCCATTCATGTCTGAACCTATAGGTAACTCATTAATACACTTTTTTTTTTAAAAAAAAAAACGATTTTCGTAGCAAAAATACCAAAAATCCTATTTCAGGGAGTTCAGTTTCGGAAATCTGTCTTTGAAGTGCAAAAGTATTATCCAGATTCTATATGGAAATTTTCAAATCTCTGCGTGCGATAGGTAGATGTGATAGACTGCGGTTTGCGCACAGTCAGATACACAAACATGTCCATTTATTATTATGTAGATAAAGACGTTTTATTTTTATTCCATTTTGCTAAACTGTGTACATATTTTGGTTATACACTACGTCATGTTTTCATTTGACGTGTCTACTCGGTTCACCTCTACCGAACAATAATAATATATTGTTTGAAAACTGGGTGCCCCGGTCATTATGGTAATTCGTTAACCGTTATACTTTTCCACGGGGGATGTCTGTCGTCAATACTCAAGACTATGTTGTTGTTAGTTTTTTTTTTATTTTGATTTTGTTGTCCCTAGAAGTAAACATTCGAGGTCGTCGCAATTGGAAAACTCGTTCGGAATAAAAAGAAATTATATTTGTATTATTTGTCGTATCCAAATTTTATTTCGCCGACAACAATCGTTTACGACACCGACGCCTTTTAAGTGCATACTGCATACACATCAAACAAACGAAAAAGAAAAAACCGACTGCCGACAAGGACCCGTTTTTAACCTACTCATCCGGGCCACGACGAGATACCATTCTTTATTACGGAACACGTACGGTGTACGGGTGCCGACGACGACGGCACCTGTGTATTATAAACGATTTTCCTCGCCGTAGTATAATCGTTTATCAGGCACAATGACTGATAACGTTTTGGATTTGTTTTTGATTTTTCGTATGAGTGGATACTCGACTTTTCAAATTAATAATAGATAATCAAATAGGTAATAAGCAGTAGGTAAATTATGTTGTTTTATACCATTATAACAGATACCACAAACGGGTAAAATAAATATAATAGTTCGTTTTCGTTTCAACTATACAATTATCGATACATACTAAAATACTCGGGAGATTATTGAACAACCAATTATCTATTACATTAAATTTACTCAATACCTAATTTCAATATTTTTTTTTTTTAGATTCTGAACTAAACAAGGAATGTATTGGAATGTTTTACTATGCTGTGTTTATTTGTTTTGTCTGTAAACAATATTTTACCCACTTGGCACCAAAATTCTTGCTACAATCAATAATTTTATTGAAACTTTCTTGTAGTATTTTCGATCTAGTTGGTGCGATGGGAATGTAATTTTCCGATTTTCCTTGTATACTACTCAATAAATAGTAAAAATCAGCAATTTTTATTGCCTTCTAGGTTACCTTGGCAACAGATTAGTGATGGTTTATAGTTGCGTAAAGATAAACAGTGATAATTATACCTACTATATCCTCTCTTCAAACTTCCCTCCCAAAACAGTGAAACGAATCCATCGGCAGTGTCAGCTTTTTTATTTCGAAAAATATTATCGTCAAATAAAAAACTACATAATATTTACTCGGAAATAGAAAACTAATGATCGTTCAGAAGTATATTTCCCAACGGACAATATTATTTGTTTCGTTATTTTTGTACGTATTGTTTGAAAAATTCTCAAATTGATAGTTAATAATTCTAGGCGTGTACTCTGTGTACATATAATATCTATATCGCGACTGTCCAACAATAATATTGAAAAACAATAGAAATGTTATGACGTACGAGCTTATTGCAAACAATCGAGACCGTTGCGGGGCCGGATCTAGATGTCCATCATTGTCGGAAAGCGAAAACCCTCGGCGGCTCACGGTTGCCCCAAATCCGACCGAAACGCAGGAATAATCACAGGTTTTACGGAACTGGCGAGCAGTCTAATTTACAAACTGTAACCTTAAACTTCATGGAACACAGTTCGTTAAGTGATTTTGGTCGTCATTGTGCGTACACAAATGAGAATGTTCCCACGCGTCGGCGAAACTAAAGCCAATTACCGGGCCACGAAAAGACTGTGGATTGTTTTTTTTCTTCCGCCACCTCTCCCCTCTCTGCGCGCGTTTCTTGTCCTTCAGCTCGTTTACAACAATGCCAGACGGAAAAAAATGTATTAATATGAAAAAAAAAAAAACGAATAAAATAAAATAACCCACACACGAGTGTGTAATTGAATGACTTGGGAAGTCGTATGAGGTAGCGCGATAAGTTCGCATATATTATACGGGAGATGGAGTTTTCAGCGATAGTGATCTCTTGGGAAAATTGAACAAAAACCGTTTCGGGTTTTCAAATATATCGTACTGTAACGGTACGCGTATCGGAGGATATAAAAAGTTCGTTGAGATTTTACATCCGTTCAACGGCGGTGGCGGCAGCGGTTGAAAATTATAAATATTTAACACGAGAAAATTAGATGCCTAATGAAAAATTTCGTACGGACAATATATTTTTCTCGAGGACGGTCTCTCCCCTTCGCTTTATCCACGAACGATTCGATATTGTTAAAACCGAGTCTTTGTCGGCACCCGAAGTCAACGTCGGGTTTATACATATTATATTCTGCTCTACAACTACCTACCTGCCGCCGTCGTCGGATTCAACTCGCCGCCGACGCCGCAATCTTTTATTATTATCCAAGATCAAACAGTCGTATCAAATTTCATGTAACACACCGCACGATGATTTACAGGATCGGTAGGTTTTAAAACGTACAATAAAACGGGTAGGTATTTTATTATTACGATTGGATATCACTAACCGAAATCACGATAAACTCAAATATTTATAGCGTACTAGTATCTTTTCGTTTTGTTGAAAACGGACGCTGCACAAATCAAACCTTGATATATTTACGGGCATTGTAATGCGCCTAGGTGCCGCGCAGAGACGAAAGATTTCATCGGATACCCGTATTGTTAGGTGCTTATTATATATTTTATATTGCGTATTATAATATAGACGTTTCTCGGAGTCGTACAAGAAACGCATTACAAAAGTCAACTCTTTTCGTGACCGTTTTTAATAAATACCGACAGCGATATTGCGGGTATAGAGCCGATATATTATTTCACTATACGGTCGATTGCGTCGTAATTCAAAGGGGCCGTATATCACGGCGTACCTACATAGTGATAATAAATCTCGTCTAGCGCGTTAAGATACGACAACGTATCGGCCGGCGATTACAATTAATACAAGCGGATAACAATCGGAGGTCCATAAAAAAAAAACCACTACTACGAGCAGTAGTGGAGGGTTCACGAGACCCTCGTGTATAAATGTACCCGGGGACACGATCCGACATATTTCGACTCGAGGACCACCCGCACGGTCGCGGCCCGTAATTTTCCCCGCGTTAATCCTCGTTTGTCGTGCGTTGTCTCGTACGTACGGCACGGCGTATCTGTTGTTCGGTTCGCGGGTGCGAAACCCGATAAAGAGCATTAGAACCTGCATTACCTATACGTGTTGTTACCTATGAGGTTACGGGCGTATATTAGGTACGCTAACGGGGCTCAAATGGAAAAAATAACTTTAGAAAAAGAAAAAAAACCAACCCTAACCTCTGTTTGGGTTCCTTGAGCCGGACGCTGGACCGGGACCTGCTGGAGAACATGGCGGCCGCCACTATTTTTTCGTTTCCGACGGCGACGACGCGACTCCGAACATAAATGAGACGACGACCGTTCGCTATAACGCACGCACACGACACGTTACGGTGGTAATATTATTATTACTCGCTCGACCGCGGCCCATCCACCCCCGTGTATAAAATAGCCGTTTTCGCGGGCGCACGGTGTATTTAGAAAAAACAAAAAACAAAAAAAACCAAAACACAATCTCGCGGAGCAATTAACGGATAGACTGTATCGAACGATATCGCAATGTATTAAAAACGTTAATCGGCCGACCAATTTAATAAAATTATTATCACAACAATTAAGTGAGTGTGTGTGTGTTTGTGTGTGTGTGTGTGTGTGTGTGTGTGTGTATGTATGTATGCGTGGACGCCACTCGCGCACTCGCCACCGCACACGACAAGACGGTTAGTGTACCGGCCAAGAACTGCCGGCGCGCGCCTCGGACGGGGAACCGGTTAGGCGGTGGTGGCGGCGGCGGCGGCGGCGGCGGCGGTCGTCCGGGGCAACGGGGCAACAAAAGATTGGCCAAGACGGTGCAGCATCACTCCTACGCCCGCCGCTCGCCCGACGGGCGATCTGTACCGACACTGCGGCCGCCACAGCCCGCAGTGGCCCGGCCGCGTATAATTATTGTTATTATCCTTGTTATTATTTCCCGTGTAATTCTTACGGACGCGGTGCCACGCCGCCAGGGAATATCGTTACGACGTGGTCGCCGTGTCGTGAAAAACGGACGCGAGCAACGGGGAGGGGGGCGGATCCGGAGCTCGATTTCGATTGGCGGTGGTGGCAAAAGTGCACCTATAGTGCTGAAAACAGCGAGTCGTAAGGTATTGTGAACCGTTGACTGGAGATGGGGCTGAGAGGGATACAACTTTTCGAAGAAAATGACCCCGGTAAACAGTGGTTTCCAATGAAAATTAGGGCGGCGGTTGGCGCCTTGAAACGGTATCTATGCAGAAGAAAGCCGTCAAGTAACCAGAAAAATTCTCCGAATCGATAACCATATATGAAATACATAGTAAATATACGGCTGATGAATGCCAAACCGAAATATACGTTTCCAGGATTCCGTTTCCGTTATAACGCAGGACATTATAGATGTTATACTATTGAAATTGCGGTGTATTTTTAATACTAAACTGCGATTTAAACATAATAACATTCGATTACCATCATTATGCGTTTTATTTCCATAGAGCTGAAAATTCGCTTTTATATAAACGCAAAACGATACGAGTTAACGTATGGGTAGATCATAGTAAATAGATTCTATAACAAAACTACATAATAATTTCAAAAACATAACACTGACATTATATTATTATTATTTTATGCTCGATTCGTATGGTTTATTTCTTAACTCTCCGAAGGACGCGCAAGTATACATAGATGGGTAACGTCATCCAATATGGGTTAATGGAACCCTAGTGTATTGCATGCGCCAGATAGTGTTGTATAGTGAAGGCGCGAGTATAAATTAGTCGTTCAGTCATACGTGGGCGTTTTAAGTATAAGAAAAAAAGATTTATAATGACATCTATGTCAAAAATGACTACTTCATTTTACATTATATACGTTAAAACCACCAGTGTACTGTAAATATTGAACATTATAAAGTTTTGTGAGTTTTAAAGGTTATATAAAATAAATACTACTTCTGAATAGGTATACTCTACAGAAATAAATTATTTTATAATGGGTTAGCTAAACAAAAAAAAATATATATATACATAATTTAGTTTATACTTTTATCGATAGTTTTATATTGACATTTAAATACTAATATATATATATACAGGGATCGGGAGATAACATTTTGTTTCAAGACGTAAAACGTCTACCTTATACGTAGAAGGTACTAGGTAATTTATTTTTTTTTTCTTTTGATAATTACCTGTAGATTTAAATGTAGATTTGGTCTCGGTAATCAATCAAAACTAAATCTAAGCTATACAGATTAAGAATATGCATCTTTAAAAATAATATGTAAAAGTGAATAGTAAATTATAATATATACCTAGATAATGTTATATAAACGAGGGAGTAAACGCAATAACTAACAAGAGATACCTATCTACATCATAAAACACATTACCTACATTAATTATATGTATTCGGTAGAATATTTACTACGTATATGAGGCTGGCCCCCCTTTGCAATTTGATTTTTTTTTTTACCGTCAATTTTTATGACGACCATTAATGTGATATTATATGCAAAATGAATTGGGAAGGAGGATATCTAGCGGAATGGCGTGGCTGGATAAGTTATTAATTCGTTTTAACTCGTTCAGTTAATACGGAAAAAATTAAGTTAAGTTAAAAGTTAATATATTTTTTAAAAATTGTTATGTTAATAGTTAATTTCTAAAAAAAAACTATTTAAGTTAATATTCACTTGGTTAAAATTTAAATTTCACTTTTTTTTTGGGGCAATCAAAATATTACAAATAGAAGAAGTTAGATCAACAGTCTTCAACTTTTTTTACAAATATGAAATAAAATGTAGTTATTAATATATACATCTTTGACCATAATTTAATTTAATATACAATTCACAAAATTAAATGAAGTTATTAATTAGGTACACAAAAAAAAGTTATAAATACCTAAAACTAGAATAATATAAACGACTAAAATACTATAGTTGTTATCAATGATGTAAAATGTAGATGTACTGTCTAATAGTTCAATAGGTATCAACTACCTACAACAAACCTACGAATATTCCATTGTTATCAGCAGAGTAGCGAGTAGCATTGGTAGTACCACCATCATGGGCGTAGCATAATACCTAATTAATTGGGTGTGGGGACTTAAGTTCTTAACCATTTTTAGCGTATTAAATTTATTAACACGTTAATTATCACGTGTAAAAATTTTTTACATGACAAACCTACTGTTCATGACGTGTGTTTTTGTGCGTTTGCTAAAATGAAAAAAGAAATAAATTATACTATGTACGGTGTACATAATATTATACACGAAAGCAATTATGGCAATTTATACAACAATGCGAGCAAATTATAAGGTGCTATTATAGGTAATTCCTTATTTACATAATCAAATCTCTTATCAATAATCATATCGTGTCTTTTATTATCGATAGTAAAATTTAAAAAAGACGTCTTAGTATAACGCGGACGGATGCAGCTACCGTTATAGATAATTTAATGTATACCTACAAGCAACAATAAACCATTGCTTACGAAAAAAATATCCCGTTTATGTACATAATAAATATATAGATTTTGAAATTGCATAAATGTTGAGTAATTGTTGCCTGTTAATGTAAAATTTAAATTTATAGTATTAACTATTTGCAAATTGTTTTTGCATGTTTATTTGACAAAATCAAATAAGTGTACACACACTATCAATATAATCAATATAACATATACCTGTGCAAAAAGAGGCGGAGAAATTTTGAATGTACCGTCACAACGTTACAAAGCCATGATTTTGATTGTTCTATAATACACAAACTATTCGATCTACCAAAAATTAAAATTTAATTTAGCACAAAAATCTAACATACGATCAACTTTATAGTATGAAATTCCAGTTGTAATTATTATATTAGGATGAGTTTATTAATAAACCAGGGTTGGACGAATAAAACACGTATTGTACTTACGTATACAAGTTTTTTTACAGCTTCACTAGACAGAAATTAGCAGGTATAATTATTGTTAATTTATCAATAAATGATAACCACAGGCATTTAATAATCATTTTATGTATGTTATTTCTTATATTAATTACCTAAGATTTTTATAATAGTTTGTTATATTAATTACGAAGTTCATCTTTAATTTTTATTAATAAATATATTACTTATTAAAATAACAAATAAGACATTTGTTTTGTTTTTGTTTTATTCTAAATTTAAGAAAATTCACTAAGTTAATGTGATTATTTAATTTGTTACATTAATTTAAATTTTAATAGTTATTCAAATTTAAATGCAATTAAATCACTGTTATAGTTATTATAGATTTCCAAGAAAAAAAATGTATAATTTCTTACGTCCTAGTCGTTTTAAAGCTTTACAAGTTTTACTAATTTTATACGTTTATACGTATATTACTGATTCCAATTAATACACATAATAATAGTCTATAATTGTATGGGAGGGGGAGGCAATCGCCGCTGCTTTTATTATGATCCATCACACTTCTGTAAATCAACGCGTTATGATTTTCACTTATTAACATTTAAGTTTCACTTTTAACTTCGTAGTGTTTTTTTAAACGCACGGTATTGTTATATGCATTATGATAGCCGAAATAGGTATAACGATTTACTTTTCATATTGAAATGTTTAATTCGACAACGCCGAGGATGTTATTATTAATATTTTTTTTTTCATTTAATCATACCCCTCTATAGTACCGATAGTAAACCTTTAATTTATTAATTAAAAATAATAATTATCGTATACATTAAATAATCCGTTGGTAGGTACTTTGTGTTGTGTCATATTATAAACTACAGCTATAGAACAGGCACAACAAAATATATCAGAGCGGGATAATAATTAATGTTTCTACTACTATACAGTAACCGGTTAGTTTGGCCTAAGGACCAATAATGTACATATATTACTATTGGTATTATTATTGACTAATTGACCGGTGATGCTGATGCTGATAAAATATCTATAACATAATATTTGTAGACATACATACATATTTTAAATATATACATATTATAAAAAAAAAAATAGTAGCAATTTATTCGATTATTTTTCTCCTTGTTTTATAATAATAATATCCACTCGTAGACATCAATGTCAACATAAAAGCAGACACTCAAACGTCGAGTATAAACGTATAAAGACGGCTTTAAATGAAAAACAAACAAAAAGTGATAATATGAAAATGATGTAGAGGTATTTCGCATTTATTGTGTTATAATATTTTATAAAATGCATACAAATATAGTAGTACACAATAATACAATATTATATTATACTCGCCCCGTGTAAAAACGATTTAGAGAAATGCGATAAATCGAGAAAGCCATAGTCATTCTGACACGCACATTTTCAAGAAATATTATTACGGACTACACGCAGTGTGCAGCGTTTAAAGACGTGTAAAGAAACAAAAGATATATTTTATCGTTTCTACGAGTATACGGAAAAGATAACTAATTTCGCCGGAATAAAACGTAAATTCAATATTATAATATTATTTTAACGCGCAGTGAGAGATTACGAGTGCGTTACAATGTATACCTACATATTATATTTATATTTATCTTATTTTCTTTTCATATTCAATTCTTTTGTACCTTCGTTCTGTTTCAATAATGCACACGTCACGTTCGGCTGGGATATGTGTATACAACTTTGCAGCTACATACAACCCCATTGCCCAGACATATTAAATGTGATGTCGAGT